TGCTGGAGGGGAGGCGGAGGGTCAGAGGTCACAGCCGGTGGGAGAAAAAGACCTGAAGATAGGATGGGAACTTGATGTAACTTGGACTTTGTGAGCAGATGTAAATATTGGATTTTAAGCTAGGTAATTGATTTGCCCTATTTTAAGCATCTTTGGAAGGGAGATGAAATGGACGATTCTTCTATCTTCTATCTGCTGTGACTTAGCGTCCGGTCTGGCCGCAGAGCCTGGGTGGCCTTGGACCGCCCCACTCATTTCACCGAAACCCTGTGAAGGGGGAGAGCCATTCTTCAGACTGAGGAGGGCCCAGTGCGGCGCCACAGAGAGCTGCCCGCCCGCCCGCCACCCGCCCGCCGCCCGCCGCCGCTGGTCTGTCCCTCTGGGGAGAAAGGCAGCGAGGACACCGCATGTAGGGTCGGGGGTGGAAACCAATTTTGCCTTCTTTTTCGAAACCTCCGATGTGTTTCTTTGACCTGCGTATTTTCACTTCTCATGAAGAACACGCCTTATAAAGGGAGGACCCGACAGAGCCATCTACTCAGAGGTCCCTCGCCCACTGGCGGTGGGTGTGGCACACATAGGCCGGGGCCTGCCCAGGGCGGATGCCACGTGCTCTCCGAGCCGGGGTGGGGGTGGGGGGCGTCCCAGGAAGCCAGGAGGAGGGGGCGTGGGCCCTGGGACCTCGCAGAGCCTTCTGCTCACGTGGTCGCAGGCGTTTCGTGGAGTCCAGCACGAGGCCTGAGCTCCGCATTTGCCCCGGAAGAAACACGTGCGTAGTGGCAGCTCTCTCCTGCCCGGGAGACCTGGGGGCCGAGCCAGGTCGGGCTGTGAGTAAATCGCTGGGCCGAGCATCTCACCAGGAGGTGCCTTCGCTCTGCGCTTGGTCTGTAACGGACGGACGGACGCACTGCGACCATCAGGCCACTGCACTCCAGCTGGGATTCAACGTGGAATATGCCCGCCTTCCGTCGGCTCTGGGCAAGCCCCGCCCGCAGCAGCCCCAGGGGGCTGGCCCACCGTGGGGGTCACTCCTGGTGCATTCCCTCACTCGCTCTTCTCCCAGCACCTGCTCAGCACCAGGAACCTGGGGGGAGGGAGGTCCATGAGCACAGAGGTAACCAGTCTTGTCCTGGCCCTAACGATAGAATGTTCTGGAAGCTCAGGTGGGAAGATTCCTATTTTGTGTCCCCAGTGCCGAGAACGGCATCCGGCAGAGTAGAGGCTCGCCAAGGATGTGCTGAACGAATGAGTGATCGAGTGGGATGAATGGGTGTTTGGGCAGAACAGGTCGGTGGGCGATGCCAGCCCAGCGTGGCCAGGGCAGCCCGTCCGAGGGTGCGGGGGTTCGCGGGGGCGATTGTGGAAGTTTCAGGGGCGGGGGTTTGGGAGTCAGGGAGCAGAGTGCCCGGCCCCTCTGGGCAGAGGGAGGCCCAGAGGCAGACCCAGGCCCGTGGGACGTGGGAGGTGGGGCCGAGGGGAAGGGAGTGGGTGTTTGGAGAGCTGGCATTGGGAGTCAGGAAGTGGAGGCAGATGGCCGGGCTGCAGGGGGCAGGGGCAGGGGCACTGAGAGGGCTCCAGGGGGAATTGGGCCGTAGCACTGCCCGTGGGGACGGCAGCAGAGCGGGTGGCAGAGGAGGGCATGTGGCCGCGGGTGCTCACCGAGCTGGGGTTTGTCCGGCGGACAGTGCGTGCATTCTCCTCTCTCTGCTGGAAGAAGCACATTGCCACCAGCTGGCTCCCCCTCTGTGGGACAAACGCCCAGGCCCCGCTGAGGCCTGGTGTCAGCTGAGATTCCCACGGCTCCCTCCTCCCGCTTGTCCTGAGCTCAGCCGGCCCCCCGAGCCTCGGAGCCCGTGTCCCTGCGCTTGGGAAAACGCACCCCCATGAAGCCAGTGCCTGCCCGTCCGCATGGACAGCTCCCACTTGCGGAGCACCGCCTGGCCAGGGCCGCACAGCAGTGAAAGGTCTCCATTTCACAGACTGGGACACTGAGGCCCGGAGGACTCAGATTGCTTAGCCCAGGCCCGAGGGACTGGCCTGGGGATTGAGTCCACGTCTGCCTGGCTGTCTTCTAACCACGTGACTGTGGGCAAGTTAGTGTCTTTGGGCCTCAATTTCTCCATCCAGAAGATGGGGGCAGTAATAGTGCCCACATCCTAATGCTGTCGAGAGGATTCCAGGAGACTGTCCTGGACAAGGCTCATCGGGAGCTGGGCACCTGCTCTCCCTGCTTATGCCGTGTGACCTGGAGGGGCTGGGGGAGGAGGACTGGAGTCTATGCAGGGAGGGTGGGCTCACTCGGGCAGCATCGAGTGTGGAAGGAGGGGACGGTATTAGGGGCTCTTTTCTGTGTGTGAGTTTCTTTTTAGCCTGAACTGGGAAGTGCTTTCTAACGTAGGGGCCACGCCAGGGGAGCAGGCTTCCCCCGACTTCCTGTTACTGGAAGGACTTTCAAGGGGTACTGAAAGCCCAGCTAATGTGGCTCAGTGGTTGAGCATTGACCCATGGACCAGGAGGTCACGGCTCGATTCCCGGTCAGGCCACATGCCTGGATTGCGGGCTCGATCCCCAGTGTGGGGCGTGCAGGAGGCAGCCAATCAATAATTCTCTCATCACTGATGTTTCTATTTCTCTCTCCACCTCCCTTCCTCTCTGAAATCAATAAAATATATATTTAAAAAAGAGAAGAGATGCTGGTGGCCGGGAGTGGGGGACGGAGGGGTTCCTGTGGAGAGGACAGATGTGTTTTGCTTGGGCTGCTCAATATTTAAACGTTTTTTTTTGTTTTTTTTTTTAATTAGTGTGCAACACATTGATTGGGAGATTTCACCCAAAGACCAATTTCTGCTAAATCTAATCAGGAACCCCCAGTCCTGCTCTTGAACATCCCCTGGGCCTTAGTATCTCCCAGTCCTTCCCTGTGGCCAGCTCCTGGCTGCCCGCCTCCAGTGCATGGCCTAGCGCCATCTGCTGGTGCAACTGTGGAGGGCAAGGGAGCCCTGGGTGGGCATGAGGCTGTCTCCAGGGCTGGCTCTCCCAGTGCCTGGCCCAGGTCTTGGGAAGATGTGGGAAGCCGAAGGGAAAAGGTCTTGGTGCCCAGATAGCCCCTCGTTCTGGGTGGAACGCCGGGGAGTCGCCTGGCATCGCCCCTTCCCCTCCTGCTGCCCCCTCTGATGGAGCCGCGGGAAAGTCCTGGGCCAGCTGTGCTCGCTATCAGCCAGTCAGGCAGAGGTGCCCGCTGGGAGGAGGAGGAGGAGGAAGCTGGCCGTTTTGAGCATCACTATGTGCCAGAACCGACACGGCCTTCACTAAGGAAGCCATTCACTCCTCCAGCAGCCCCGTGGAGGGGGCTCCCACAAGCCCAGGGTCCCAGGGAACCGGCCACAGAGTCCCCTCCTTCTGACTCTGACACTGGCCTGGGCAGGAGCCTCCCTCGGCTCTTTCCGCTCGTGCTCAGTGAGACTCCAGAACCATCTCCTCGCTACTTGTACTGATTGCACACAGCTCTGCCGGGACCATGGCTGCAGCATGAAACCAAGTGTCATGCTGTGGACTGATGAGCAGTGAGTGCCACTCCGTCTCTCCCAGGCCCCGCCAAGGGCCCGCCATCTCTGCCAGGCCCTGCCGAGGCCGGGGCTCAGGCCTGTCCCAGGCTGAGCGGTAGGCTGAGGTGTCATCTTTTATTCAGCCACACCCCGATGTTGAGCCCGCAGGCGATTTCCCTTTCCTTGCTAGCAACAATGCAAATAGAGCTGCCCTTCACAGCGAGGCGTCTGAGTTTTTCCCTGTGGGGGTTCTGTCCATAGAATAAATTCCCGGGTATTACTGAGTCTGGGCTTCATAAACCAGCATGATCGGCTCGGACCTCAATATACGGCATAGACCAAAGGCATGCACTTAGAGAGATTTTTAAAAATCCTCATCCCAGGATATGTTTTTGTTTATTTTATAGAGAGAGGGAGAGACAGAGAGAGAAAAAAACTTTTTGATGTGAGCGAGAAACATCAATTGGTTGCCTCCTGCACACACCCCGACCGGGGCCAGGGATTGAACCGCCAACCTAGGGAATTGGACCCACCACCTTTGGTGCACATGACACTCCAACCAAAGCCACCTGGCAAGGGGGGAGAGAGAGATTTTTAAGGGCCAATTAAATGCAGATGTCTGCGAATGGGAGAAACTGTTTTAAGCTCACAGGCAGGGTTTCCCTCCCGTCTTTGGGGAGGGGCCTCTGCGTGGTGGGTGGAGTGAGCAGGAGCTGGCAGAGAAGGCCCTCCGGAGGGGCTGGGCTTCCTGCTCATCAGAGGGCATTTGGGCTTTCGTTGTCTCGGAGTCGACGTCGCTTTTTCACCAGCATTTTGTGAATTCTGGTATAAGATCCCAGGTGGGTGGCGGCAGGGAGCCAAGGTGCGAACCTCACCACCTGATAACCCAGTAATCCCTGGGGACCCAGTCAGCTCCCCGAGCCTCACGTTCTCCTCTGCAGCTCAAGGTGAAGGCCCCCCATCTCATCTCTAGGCTGTGAAAGTGCAGATACAAAAGGAGGTGAAGTGTCCACGGGGAGACATTAGTTTCGCAGAGCGTGGGCCTCAGACCCTGGTCCAGAAGCACTGGGCGGGCGGAAGGGACTCCCGGCTTCCCGGCCCTGCCGCGTCCCGAGCTCCCAGCTCTGCACCCCTCTGGGACCCGCCTTTCTACCAGGCGCCCCAGGGCTGATCTCACTGGCATTTGCAGACCACGGGCTGCGGGGGCTGCGGGGTGCTCAGGTGTCATCTCAAGCTGGGGGGCTAAGGGCGGGGGGGCAGGCCTCAGCACCTTAACTGGCTTCCAGGTGGTTCTGATCAGCCCTGGCTGAGAAGCGCCAGGTGAGGGTGTGAACGGCGGGCGGGCCGATGAGCAGGCGCTGGCCCAGGAGGAGGCCTCTGCAAACCTGCTGCCTTTGCGTTGGCGTGGCCCAGGCCTGGCTTTCGCTCTGCTAACCCGGCTTTCCTGCTCCCCAGGGTCCCAAGTGATGGTGGTTTCCACGGAGGGTGAGCTGAGTCCTGCGCGACTGGTGGGCCCGGCGGAGCTGGCGGCGGCGCCTGCGGGCTGGCGGGCGTGAGCGTGGACTCTCAGCGTCTCCCCGGGAGGAAGCATGTCTAAGAAGGGCCGGAGCAAGGGCGACAAGCCCGAGATGGAGGCGGACGCGGTGCAGGTGGCCAACGAGGAGCTGCGGGCCAAGCTGACCAGCATTCAGATCGAGTTCCAGCAGGAGAAGAGCAAGGTGGGTGGCACCTCCATGTGGGGGTGGGGGAGGGGGGGCGGGTGGCTGGGAATTCCGGGGACAGTGCTGCCCCTGGGGTATGTCTGGAGGGTGTGCTCCGGGCTGGGTTGGGTGGGCATTCCACCCATCTAAGGCTAGCATCAGTGGAGGTCTAGACACCGCCTGGGGGCGAATCCCAGCACCGCCCCCCCCCCCCTTCCTGTGACCACAGACCAGCTACCTAACTCTCCCTGCCCGGGACTCCCCTCACCTGCTCACCTGGGCCACCTGGCCTGCCCCCGCTGGCCGCCCGGCCTCTCCCAGGCTGCCCTGCACACACCGCTGCCACCCTGTCCACATCCGCCTCCTTCCCACCTGTGACCACGCTTCCCCCTCTCTGCTCTTTGCTTTCAGCTTCCCTCCTCCCAGCAGTCCTCATAGCCGCTGTGGCCGCCCTGTTTTCCAGGAGACGACCAGGAAGCTGTGGGAGGTTGTACACTCAGGGTTCTTCAGAGAGAAACAGAACCAGCAGGAGATTTTACATATAAACACATGTACACACACATACGTGCAAGGGGCGGGGAGAGGGATTTTTCAGAGGTTATCTCACGCCTGTGGAGGCAGACACGTCTGGAACGTGCAGGGCCGGCTACTGGAGATTCCAACAGGAGCTGCCCTTGCCCTTGCCGCAGGGGGCTGACCCTGCCTCGCTGGAGTCTCAGTCTTTCCTCTTAGGCTTTCACCTGACTGGGTGAGGGCCCCCCACGTCAGGGAGGGCGATCCACTTTCTCACGGTCTGCTGACTTAGATGTCAATCAGTCTAAGTCAACAGTGGTCGGCAAACTGCGGCTCAGCAAACTGCGGCTCAGCAAACCGCAGCTCGCGAGCCACATGCGGCTCTTTGGCCCCTTGAGTGTGGCTCTTCCACAAAATACCGACTTCTGCGCATGGGCCACAAAGTTTCAATCGCACTGTACGTGCGCGCCTGCACGTGGTATTTTGTGGAAGAGCCACACTCAAGGGGCCAAAGAGCCGCATGTGGCTCGCGAGCCGCAGTTTGCTGACCACGGGTCTAAGAAATACTTTCACCACCACAGCTAGGCTGGTGTTTGGACAGTGCCCTGGCAGCACGGCCCTCCTGGTGACACATTACGGGAACTGTCCCAGGTTCAGTCATTGGCCGAGGGAAACGCACTGATCGGTGCAGATTCAGGGTGCAACCCGGTCCCCTCCTTCTCACTCCAAACCACCGGCAACCTTAACTCCAAGACCAGGACCATGTTGCCTCCTAGAGAGGAGGCCACCGGGAGCACTGAATCCCCCCTGAGAAACCGAGTTCAGTGAAGTCCTGCTGCCTGGCTCTCTGCTCCTCGGGAGAGACTGATTCCAGCCCTCGGGTGAGGTCGGCCTGGGCTGGCCCTTCCAGCTCCCGGGCGAGGTGGGCCTGTATTGGTGCTGCAAGGGTTCAGGAAGCCCCACGTTGGGCGCCATTAATGCCCAGGTTCTTGGTCCAGCATCTAAAAGGGTTCAGCAATCTGGAGAAGGCTGTGTGTAACTTAAGAGTCCAGTGATGAAATATAATTTTGAAAGGCATTGGGGTCAGAGGAGCTTAGCTAAAAGGAACTAAGATTTCCTCATCTCAGGACCCCATGCTTTTTATTAACACAATTTGTCCTGAGGCGAGGCAGAGATATACACTTCAAAGGGTAGGGATTTGTATACAGAGGCATTGTCAGAATGGGGGAATTTGCCTACGGCTGTTCAGGTGTTTGGCCAGTAGGAGGCAATAACATGAAGATTAAGATGTTCTGAGCTGTCCTGGCAGCAAGCAACCATCCCTTTTCAGGTTTGGGGAAATGCCTTCAGCCATTCCCAACAGGTGACAACATATGTGACTCAGCCCTTGTTGAGTCCCCAAGTTCCATCAACCTTTCGATGAAACTCTTGCAATTATGACCTGCTGGACCTGGCTTCCGGCAGGCCTGGGTTTACCCTTTTAGCTCCTGAGCGAGGTGGGCTGGGCTGGCCCTCCCTTGTCTCTGCGATCCTGACTGTGACATGAGGGATGGTGACCTCTCTTTGCCTGGTTGGCTGTATGAGCTTCTTTCCCTGCTGCTCGTTGTAAGTCAGCTGACATCCTGGCTCCTCACCTGCGCTGAGTTTCAGGGACCGGTGTGCGCCAGGCAGCGTGGTCTGGGGGCGCGGCTGCCTTTCCGTGGAGGCAGCGGATCCCAGAGACCACTGTTCCGGTGCTGGGGAGGCCGTGCTATCTAGAAAACAGAGGGACCGTGGAGGGTTCCTACAGGATTTGACCTGAAAAGGCCAGATAAAGCCTTTGGAGTGTATTAGGAGAATGTGCCCTGGGCATGTTTTACAAGTAATGTTTTTAATTGTGTGTTGATCCCACAAATACATGCAGGCGGGGTTGGTGGCCTGGCATCTGGGGGACACCAGCTCTGGGCCAGGTGCCTGGGGTGAAGCCTGGCTCGGCCCCTTGGCAGCCCCTCGCCCAGGCAGGTCACCAGAGCGTCTCTAGGCCTCAGATGCCTTGTGGCAGAACAGAGCCTCCTGTGGGGGATGCACCAGAGTCCGCAGGACTCCTCTTCCTCCTCCCCCTTCCTCCCCCCCCCCCCCCTCCTCCTTCCCTCCCTACCTCCTCCTGCCTGTCTTCTCTAGCTCAGGCCCAGCCATGGGCCCTGCAAATTACCTTCTGGTTTAAGATTTGTACAGCGTTAGTGGGAGAGAGGATGTCTGCCAGCTGGGCAAGGTTCATGACCGATAAATGGTCCTTCTTTCTAAACCTCTGAATGGAAGGAGGTTCTCGCTCCTCTAGCGTCTGCAGCTGTTTCCCACCTCTAGGGAACAGCTCCGGAAAGAGCAGGAAGGAGTCAGGGTGGGGCTGATGAGGGTCAGACCAAGGGCGTGGCTGCGGGGGAATTGGAGTGTGGGGACGGGGAGGGTCTCAGGGATGTCAGGCACAAAGGTATGTGGGGAGGTTTTCCACGGGCATGGCTGGCTCCTCAGCCCTGCCCCTGCCCTGGACCCTGCCCCTGCCCCTGCCCTTACCCATGCCCCTGACCCCCTCTCTCCGCTGCAGGTGGGCAAACTGCGTGAGCGGCTGCAGGAGGCCAAGCTGGAGCGCGAGCAGGAGCAGAGGCGGCACACGGCCTACCTCTCCGCGCTCAGGGCCAAGCTGCACGAGGAGAAGACCAAGGAGCTGCAGGCGCTGCGCGAGTCGCTCATCCGCCAGCACGAGCAGGAGGCGGCGCGCACGGCCAAGATCAAGGAGGGCGAGCTGCAGCGGCTGCAGGCCACGCTGAACGTGCTGCGCGACGGCGCGGCCGACAAGGTGAAGACGGCGCTGCTGGCCGAGGCGCGCGAGGAGGCGCGCAGGAGCTTCGACGGCGAGCGCCTGCGGCTGCAGCAGGAGGTGCTGGAGCAGAAGGCGGCGCGCAAGCAGGCGGAGGAGGCGCTCAGCCACTGCGTGCAGGCCGACAAGGCCAAGGCGGCCGACCTGCGCGCAGCCTACCAGGAGCACCAGGACGAGGTGCACCGCATCAAGCGCGAGTGCGAGCGCGACATCCGCAGGCTGGTGCGTGAGCCCCGCCCCGCCCCGCCCCGCAGGCACCATGCCCTTTCCTGCCGCACGCGCTGTCCCTCCTTCCCGGGAGCGGGCAGTGAACGCGCAGCTTCGAGGACACTGCGCTCCAGGCAGGGCTTCCAGCGGAGGCCCCGCCGTCCTGGGGTGGGAAGGAGGCTTTGCCGGCAGGTCCCTTCTTCCCAGGCGCGATCCTTGGTAGGTCACCCAGCTGCTCGCCTCCTCCAGCGCCGGGGTGGCTGGCAGCCCTCCGTGTCCCCGGCCCGTCTCCGCCTGTGACCTTGCAGCGCCACCCAGCTGGCCCTGACCCCTGCTTTGTCCTTCCTCCCAGCTCTAGTCATTCTCTGATCTAGCGCCGCGTTGACTTGTTATGCGTTTGGCCACCTCCCTCCGTCCGTTTGCTCAGATGTTTCCCGGCTCAGTACGTGTTGGACTGAGGAAAGCGCGGATGTCTGCGTGTCCCTCCGTAAAATAAGGACCTCCTCTCTCCTACTTCTTACTCTCCTGGCGGCTCTGCAGTGGCTGCCCTGGTTCCCGGGGGTTAAGTTTCTCCCCGCAGCCGGGGAGGTGCTCCTGGGAGTCCATGCAGAGGCCTTGGCCAGAGAGCAGGCGCTGCTGCTGGATGGCCACCAGGGGGCGCCGTGCGCACGTCGTGGGGGAGGTTGGGGATGTGGAGGGAAAGGGGGCACCCATTTCTCCTCCAAAGAAAGGCGACTCAGAGCTGTCGGAGCAGTAGGCTTTGTGTGAAAAGCTCCCCGTCTGGATTTGGGGGGTACCAGTCCCCCCCTATAATCTCAATCACATTGTATCCGTTTTTAATGGTCTGCTGTTTAAATAAGATAGCCTTCTGTTAACCAGCAGCTAACAGAGTAATGGTGGCAGCCAACATTGATCGAGTTATAATATGCCAGGCTCTGTGCCAAATTTGTTCTGCGGCTGATCTACTATCTCCCCGCAATTGGACAGAGTAGGTTCTAGAATGTTCTCAGGGTCCCCATGTTACAGAGGCTGAGGCTAGTCAGTCAGGTGGCTGGGCTGCCCAGGATTCCGCAGCAGGAGGGGCGGGACCTGCGTAGGACACGGGCAGGACGCTTGACCAGGATCCCAGGTCCTGGCGGCCTGTGAGTCCACGGGTGTGATTGGAAGTAAGAGTTCGATTCCGGCCACTCGGAGTTCTCACTCTGCGTGTGCCGAGGCTGGGGCTGCCTAAGCGATGGCCGCGAGCTCAGTGGCCTCAGGCCACAGCAATTATTCTCTCCCAGGGCTGGGGGCCCGACGCCCAAGCTCAAGGTGCCAGCAGGCTGCACCTCGGACGTCCAGGGGGTCCTTCCTGCCTCTTCCAGCGTCTGTGTTACCGGCCACCTTGCCGTTCCTTTTCCCGGCTGTGGCCGCATCCCTCCGGTCCCTGCCCCGTCCCCACAAGGCCTCCTGCTGTGCATCTGTGTGTCCCTCTCCTTTTATAGGACACCCGTCACCAGCCCCCCCCCCCTCCCCGAGTGCCCACATCTTACATATCTGCAGCGGCCCTGTTTCCGATGAGTCACAGCCTCAGGTCCGAGGAAGGACCTGGATTGGGGGGCAGGGGAGACAGCACCCAGCACAGCGCCCTTCCTGGGCAGTGTCCCAGCTTTGGCTTTGTGCCCAGAATCGGCTGAAGTATGTGGCCCGGGGCCCGGCTTCTTCCCGCTGGGTTTCCTCTGGGGAACACTGGGCACGGCTGGGGGATGCCTGGGGCTTCCACCGGGGTTCGCATGTGGACACGGTGAGGTCCTTGGAAACGCCGGGCAGCCCGTGGCTCCCGTGATTGTGGGGCGCTGAGGGAGCCGGGGCTGGGGATTCGGTGACCTCAGCTGCCCGTGAGGGGCCTGCTATCAGGTGAGGACAGGGCTGCCCGGGGAAGGGGCCCAGCCTGGGACCCGCAGACGAAGCGCCCAGGGCAAGGCGGGTCAGTAGGAAGTAGGAGCTGGGAAGTGGTCGCAGGGGCGGCGGGAGAGGGTCCTGCGGCAGCGGTGGGCGTCTCTGTCCCGCTGAGGAGAAGGCTGGGAGGACAGCAGGTTGTCCAGGGGCTGGGGCCGGGAGAGCACGGGCGACCTTGGCAGGATTCCTTTGGCGGCGGGTGGGGACTGTGCCCAGACGGGAGCGGCTGAGGGAGCGGTGGGCGATAGGAGAGCAGCCCACCGGCGGAGAGGCCGGAGGGCGGAGGGCCCGAAGGGCCAGGATTTGACTTCATGAAGGTGAGCGAGACCTGGGCACAGATGCATTTCCAAGGTCAGTGCCTGGTTGACGGCACAGATCCTTGAACCCGTAGCTCTGCTCCTCTGAGCTCCGGGAAGCAGGGCTGGGCCGTGGGCTGCGGCCTCTCTGTGTCCCGTGTCCACGGAGCTGCCGACCTTCCCCTGGGCCTCCGCCAGCCAGAGCCAGATCTCCCGGCACCAGCCCCAGACTGACGGCTGCCTCCTCCTCCAGATGGATGAGATCAAAGGGAAAGACCGGGTGATCCTGGCCCTGGAGAAGGAGCTGGGCGTGCAGGCCGGGCAGACCCAGCGGCTGCTGCTGCAGAAGGAGGCGTTGGACGAGCAGCTGGTTCAGGTCAAAGAGGCCGAGCGGCACCACAGCAGCCCCAAGAGGGAGCTGCCGCCGGGCATCGGGGACATGGCGGAGCTCCTGGGCGCCCAGGTGAGGCTCGGGCAGGCCTCGGGCCTCGAGCTGCCCCACGCCCTTCCTCCCCTGGTCATTCCTCCAGCCAGCCTGCCTGCCTCCCCCTCCCTCCCTCCTTCCACCCACCTGTCCATCCTTCCGTCCCTCTCAGCCCTTCCCCTGCAAACCTGCTGACACTCCCTCTGCTCGGCACTGGGAGCGGAGGGGTGGGCCGCGGCGGCTTCGCCTCCAGGGTCTTCACCTGCCTCCAGGTGAAAAGAAAGAAATGAAGACATCAGGCCCAGCCGGTTTGGGTCAGTGGTTAGAGTGTTGGCCTACGGACTGAAGGGTTGCGGGTTTGGTTCCTGGTCAAGAGCATGTACCTCGGTTGCAAGCTCGATCCCCGGCCCCAGTCAGGGCACATGCAGGAAGCAACCAATCGATGCATCTCTCTTACATGGATGTTTCTCTCTCTCTCTCTCCCTCCTTCCCTCCCCCTCCCCCTCCTCTCTCCCTCCCTCCCTCCTGCATCTCCTCCACTCTCTCTAAAAAAAAAAAAAAATCAATGGCAAAATATTCTCAGGTGAGGATAAAAGAAAAGAAGTGAAGACGTCAGTGCAGGCTGTGCCGTAAGAGCACAGAGGGGCCCAGCGAGGCAGGACACGAGGAGGGGCTCAGCCACAGACGGGCATCTGGGGCGGCAGCTTGGTGCTTACCAGGCGCAGCAGCTGCAGCAGCATCCGTCCGTCCGTCCATTCGTTCACTCACTCACTCACTCACTATGCCCGTGTCTCGTGCGTGTTTGTGGAGTGCTGGCACCCTCGCCAGGGCAGTCAGGGCACAGAGTGGGCAGGGGCCCCAACCTGGAGGTCCCCAGAGACCAGGCCGGGTGTGTGGGAGCCACGGGTGGGTTTGGCAGGAAGTCTTTCTGCAAGTTGCTGGCAGAGGGGTTGGACTCCTGGAACCCCAGTGGGGACTGGTGCCGGTGGGGGCTAGCTCGCCGAGACGCTGTGAGTTCTCTGAGAAGGGGGTCCCTGGAGCGCCCCGAGTCTCTCCTGCCTCTTCAGCGCGCACTCGTATCTTTTAGGATCAACACATGGATGAGCGAGACGTGAGGCGGTTTCAACTGAAAATTGCGGAACTGAACTCGGTGATCCGGAAGCTGGAAGACAGAAACACCCTCCTGGCAGATGAGAGGAATGAACTGGTAACCGGCCCCAGAGACGGAGGGGGTACCGGGAAGCGCGCTGGGCCGCGAAGCTGGCTTGGCAGGAAGCTAACGCGGAGCCTCTGGCTCTCTGCGCTCCCGCATTTCTCTCTGGTTGAACATCCGGCACACACTCACCGCGAAGCCCGTCCCTGCCCTTTGCCTCTGCAGGGGTTTATCCTTGGCGACGGTCGGAGAAGTCCCGAGAGAGGTGTGGAGAGGATGCTCACGGGTGTGGTTTGTAACAGCAACCAGAAGCGAAACAAAAACCCCACTGTTTGGCGCTCCAGTGTGGGTCAGAGTGACCAGGGAACACTCACACAATGATTGCACGCAGCCATTAGGAATGACGGTGCCGCCCTGGCCTGTTAGGCTCAGTGGTTGGAGCATCAGCCCTTGGACTGAAGGGTCCCGGGTTCGATTCCAGTCAAGGGCACGTACCTTGGTTGCAGGCCTGATCTCCTGCCCCACTTGGGGCGTGTTTGGGAGACACACGAATTGATGTGTCTCTCTTACATCAATGTTTCTCTCTCTCTGTCTCTCCGCTTCCCTTCCACTCTGTCTAAAAACACATGGAAACATATTCTTGGGTGAGGATTAAAAAACAAACCAACAAACAAACCAAGCATGACCGTACTGATCATGTTTCATTGCCAGGGACATTGGTTCATAGGACGAAGGACAGTTTCTAGAACAAAAACGTATTGTCATCCCGGGCTCTGGGAATTGCTTTAGGGGTGTGATTACGGGTAGCTTTTATCTTTTGCTTACCTATTTACTTTTTTTTGCATCAAAGGTGGCCTATTTCTAATTTAAATATAATGAACATGGATTTCTGATTAAGGAATAAATCTCTAGTAAAAATAGCAATTTCTTAACTACCTTTACATTTGTTGGATAAAGAGCTAACCTGACTTTTCTGTAGTGTAGTCAACCCACAAACTGCCTGAAAAACACCTCAGAACACTTCTGTTTATTCTACATTTTATTATGAAAGTAAGTGTATCCATAATATTTGAAAACCGTGGCAGTTGAAAAGTGTTAAGTGTCAGAGAGAGAGACAGAAACATCAGTGATGAGAGAGAACCTTTGATCAGTTGCCTCCTGCACCTCTCGTCCCCGCCCTCCCCCCCCCCCCCCCACAACCAGGGATTGAGCCTGCAACCCGGGCATATGCCCTGACTGGGAATCAATCCGTGACCTCCTGGTTCATAGGTTGATGCTCAACCACTGAGCCACACCAGCCGGGCTGCCTTCATCTTTTTGATGGCTGCATTGTACTCCGCCGTGTGGACACAGCGTGGCTTACCCAGCCTCTCCTGGCAGGAGGCATGCCGCACCGACGACACATTTCCTCTTTACTCGCGGGGCCTTCATTCTGTGGGGCAGGCCTCTGGAAACGGAATGTGCAGTCACAGCTGCATTTTGTATTTTGAGGGGCACCAGGGGAGGGTTGTGTCTTACCTTTCACAGCCTGGTGCCTAAAAGCAGGCGTCTAAGTCAGCCCCTGTGTTCAGTTCTTGGTTCTAGCACTTTCTGTGTGACCTTGAGCACATTCGCCCACCTCTTTGGGGTCAGGATCTCTGTCTGTGGCGTGAGGACAGGGATGGGGCCCCCTCCTAGGTGTGTAGCGAGGGTCGAATGAGAGAGAAGGCCTGGAAGGGCTTCCTACTGGTTGGACACATGGCGAATTCCCATTTTATAGATGAGAAAACTGAGGCCGAGAACTGGGCTAGTGTCCTACAGTTGGAAAACGTGTCAGCCAGGATGCTGCTCAGAAGGAAAAGGGGTGGGCACCTCTAATCATGCAGGCTTCCCAGTCCCTACTCCCCATACCCCCAAAAGTCTCTGCCTTGCTAGACTGGCCTCCACACAGCTGTTGGAGAGGCTGATTGTTCTAGAAGGCAGATCTGACTGCAGAGCGCTCCACCCCCAGCGCTGAGCCTGCCACGCACGCGCCCAGGGCTTGTCTGTTGTCTGCAGAGGGTGGAGCCTTCTGAGGTCTGAACTTGGGGAGGAACTAGGTAGCGGGATTGACCTTTATGACCCATGACCTCTAGAAGTGTAGCCTAGTGGACACAGCCCAGGCCACTGGCCGGCAGGGTGCCCTGGGGCAGGTCCGGGGCCCCCCCGCTGGGCTCCTCTCCCGTCACCCAGGCCCTCTGAGGCTCGGTGGGTCCGGGTCGGAAGCCCCGTGTCTGCGGGCCCCGTCTGGTGCTCAGTCCCGAGGAAGGCGTGCCGTTCATGGCTCACGGCCGCCCGCTCTGCCCTCTGCCCGCAGCTGAAACGCTCCCGCGAGACCGAGGTGCAGCTGAAGCCGCTGGTGGAGAAGAACAAGAGGATGAGCAAGAAGAACGAGGACCTGCTGCAGAGCATCCAGCGGATGGAGGAGAAGCTCAAGAAGCTCACGAGGGAGAACGTGGAGATGGTACGTCGGCCGCTGAGGCCAGCCCGAGCCGAGGTGCCGGGGCCCCGGGGCAGCCCCAGCCCGGCCAGCCCTCCGGCTGTCCCCCCGGGAAGTCACGGTGCCGTGCGGACCCGCCCCTGTGCCCGGAGACGCATCTCCTCTCTGCGCCTCAGTTCCTTCATCCACAGAACGGGAATGAAAATGTCCACGTGGCGGGTTATTGGGGGGACGGAGTGATAGCACAGAAGGGCCTCGCCGACACCCGGCCCGTTGGGGAAGCTCAGCGTGTGAGAGCGGTTCCGCCTTTCGCTCTGAGTGCTTCGCAGGAGGGGTGTTCATTTGCGCTCTTTGTGGTCGGGCGGTGTCTTGGCGTAGGCGGTTCAGAGAACGCCCTGAGGCTCGTCGTCCAAAGTAGTGTCGGTCACCCCCATTTTACAGCTGAGTAGACTGAGGCTCAGAGGCGAGTGCCCTTCTCCCCGGGCCCTCACAGGTCCAGGTGCGAGCGTGTAATTCCGGTGTGAGGCGTGCTCTCTCCCGGCTTCCTTGTCCAGCGTGCAAGGCTGGGTGTGGACGTCCGCCCCGCCCAGGGCCTGCCCAGCCCTCTCCTGGCGCTGGGCGCCGACAGCCTTGCCTGCGGCTTGGTTGTCCTGCGGCCGTGCCCTCCTCCAGCTTGGGGACGAGGTGGCCATCACCCCTCCCTCCACCCTCCCATCCCGTGTCCCAGAGCCCACACTCCGCGCCCGGATGCGCACAGTGGGTCCTCACAGACGTGGCTGAGCAGCCCTGCGGGGCTCTCTCCCTCTGGCCCAGAAAGAGAAGCTGTCCGCGCAGGCGTCTCTGAAGCGGCACACTTCCCTGAACGACCTGAGCCTGACGCGGGACGAGCAGGAGATCGAGTTCCTGCGGCTGCAGGTGCTGGAGCAGCAGCACGTCATCGACGACCTCTCTCTGGTACGTCCACGCTCAGTGACGCCTCAGCGACGCCAGGTGCCCCGGCTGTCGGGTGCGGCGTCGAGGCTTCTGGGCGCTGCAGCTGCCACGTGGGAGGCAGAGCCTGGACGGACCCAGGCCCGCTGCGGGCGGGGCGGCGCTGCAGGGCCCCACCCCAGAGAGCCAGGTCGGTTGGTGGGTGTGACGTGAGGCTGAACGTGCCAACAGCTGTGTTTCCTTCCAGGAGAGAGAGCGGCTCTTGCGCCCCAAGAGGCATCGCGGGAAAGGCCTGAAGCTGCCCAAGGTGAGCCCGCGGTGGCACAGCCGCCCCTGGTCTGCGGGGCGGCGTCCAGGGAGAGGGGACACTCACCTCCTGCATGTTGGACGGTTCCCGCCGTCTCTCAGTGACACGTGACTGACGGCCATGGACACGCTTAGTGTGACTTTTCATGGGAAACTCGAGGATGAGTTCGCTGTTTAGGCCTCAGGGGCTGCTCACCCCAAATTAAAAACGTAAGGACGTAGACCTTTCGAAGGGTTTACAGGGCACTCGGGCTGGTGGTAGCATCTCACAGCCGTTCTGAGGAGTCAGGAGCTATGGGCTCTGGGACGAGGCAGAGCGGGTTCCTTTCGGAGGGTGTGGGCTTATAGAGCGAGTGTCTGAATATTCGGGCGGAGGGAGCAGAATGGGGCCTGGAACACGGAGCAGCCAGGACCGAGCTGGCCGGGAGCGAGCACAGTGGGGCGGGGGGAGAAGGAAGACTCAGTTTGCGCTTAAACCTGTAAATGTATTTTCACCTCCACGAACATTGGGCCTGCTCGCCTCCTGGCTCCGGACTTGCTTTCTTTAAATATGTTCTTATTGACTTCAGAGAGAGGAAGAGAGGAGAGAGCAATAGAAACACCAGTGATGAGAGAGAGTCGTCGCTCAGGGCTTAGGACTTGGACACACCTTCTCTGGGGCCCAGTTTCACCCACAGCACCCACCGCACTTTGTGTAAAACCCAAGGATTGTCACCGTTGGTGCCAATGCTTATCGCACACCCCTTCCCCAGCATCTGAGGCGGAGCACCTGCTGGGCGGGTCCTGCAGGAGGCGCTCTCCGCGTCACCGTTGCTAGGACTGAGCCCAGGTCCCCTGGGATCATCCAGGGACCAGGCCTGTGATGGCCTGGGCGACAGGGAGCCTGGGTGTGGGAGGGGAGCCCCAGGGAATTCACCGGGGAAGCTGTGCCGTGTGACTCACCGCCCAGGCCCTGGAAACCGGCTCCTCGGCCCCATCCGCCCGGAGCTGGCATCCTGTCCCGGCAGTGCGGGTCCTTAGGACTTGCCGGGGCCGAGAGGCAGAGAACGGAAGCGCCCTGGGGACCCAGAGGCCTGGGCACGGGCAGCGGGGCTGGGCGCGCCATGGAGTACGTGCTGTTCGTGCTGTACTTCTCCTTCTTCCTCTGCCTCTGCGCCCTGGTCTGCCTGTACTTCTCCGGCTGCCAGGAGATGACCTACCGGCATGAAGGTAGGCGCCGGCGTGGGGGTCCGTCCCTGCGGCTGGACGCCCCCTCCTGGGCAGGGGCCTTGGAGGGGAGGCTGAGGGGGGCTGGAGCGGTGGAGGGCTCCCTCTTCCCCCCTTGGTGCCGTGTGACCAGCTAAGAGCGGGCACCTCTGGATATCAGAGTGTAACTGGGGTCCTTTACATCGTTCAGTCATTTTCCCCCCAAAGTTGGGCTCTTTGTAAAAGGAGTCAGCAGGGCAAGAGGTGGCAGCCTGGAGGCGTGGGCCCCTGTGGGGAGAAGGTGTGGGGAGCGAGCAGATAGGACTCGACGCCCCTGCAGTATCTTCCCGGGGACGCCGGGGGTGTGAGGAGGATGGAGACGGACTGTGTTTAAAGCCCGTTGTGCGAGCACTGAGGCCCGGTGTTTCCCGGGCTCCTGGCGGCTCACATGGACCAGGTGAAGGTGCAGGGAAAGGCAGGAGCTGCAGTCTCCCCAGAAGACAGGACCAGACCTTCGCTCTGGGCAGGGAAAGGTCCTTTTCCAGCTGTTTCTTATGAATAGAGGCATACATTTCTGTGCTACGTTTTGGCTTCCCAGGTAAGACAGTCACTTACAAAAGCTCACCCTAGACCAGTGGTTCTCAACCTTGGCTGCACATTATCACCTGGGAATCCTTAAATCCTGATTTCTGGGCCTCATCCTCCGGAAATTCTGTTTCTTTGTGATGGGGTGGGGCCACAACATTAGTAACAAAGAAACAGAATTTCTGGAGGATGAGGCCCAGAAATCAGGATTTTAAAGATTCCCAGGTGATTCTAATGTGCAGCCAAGGTTGAGAACCCTGCCCTAGCCAGTGGTCGGCAAACTCATTAGTCAACAGAGCCAAATATCAGCAGTACACGATTGAAATTTCTTTTGAGAGCCAAATTTTTTCAACTTAAACTGTATAGGTGGGTACATTGTTATTAACTTAATTAGGGTCCTCCTAAGGCTTAGGAAGAGCCACACTCAGGGGGCCAAAGAGCCGCATGTGGCTCGCGAGCCGCAGTTTGCCGACCACGGCGCTAGAGGAACTAACCCAGGGCACGTGCTATCGGGCTGGCCACAGTCAGCTCAGCCCTGCGTGCGCCGTGTGCCGTGTGCCGTGTGCCGTGTGCCGTGTGCCGTGTGCCGTGTTTGTGGCTCCACAGCCTTTGCTGTTAGGACTGTGACCTGAGTGCCCTTTTGTGTTTGGTCTCCGCCCCCAGAGCCGCTTCCCCCTTCCCTCCCGGCAGCTGCTGCCTCCGGCGGGTCTGGGTCTCTGGGGCCAGGTTATACCTCAGGGGCTCCACTGGGCCTGGGCAGCCTGGCTGCTCAGGGCGGGGCGGCCCCGCTGGAATGCCCACCTGCAGGGTCTGCAGCTGAGGCCCTGACGGGAGCTCCGTGACTGCGCGTCTAGCCAGCAGCCCCGCAGGGTTTCAGAAACTGGATCAGCCTGGGGGTGGCCTGCTTCGTCATGACCCCCAGAACGGTCCAGGCCACTTGATGGGGGGGGGTGGGTCCCAGCATCGCACCCCGTCCTGTCCTGATCCTTGGTGAGTGTGTGGCTGGATGGTTCCTGGGGCTGCACCGCTGTGCCAGGCAGGGCCCTCCCTGCGTGCCCGCTGCTGCCCAAGGGCACATCACAAACACAGGCCTGCCCCAGAGGCCTGGCAATTAGCTGTGTTTACAAGCAACAAGGTCGGCCGAGTGGCGCCCAGGAGAACGGGAGCTGGAGCCCAGGCGGGGGGTGGGGTGGGGGGACTGCGCGTGGGGGTGAGATGCTCCCTCCTGAGGTGCTGCTGTCACCATCGGGGGCCCGGCCGCGGCTCCCTGGCGACGGCCGGCTGAGCTGGTGACCCTGAACCAGGCGGGGTTTCTGCGGGAGGAGACTGGGCACATGGCTGTCTCCACCCTGCACTTGGAGAGAAGGACCATTGGAAATCGATGGAGCCCATTAGGCCTCACCTCCTGCCCCTTAGGCTCACCTGGGCGCACGGCCCGGCGGCTGCCCGCTGACGTGGCTGCAGACTGAAGGGAGGGTGCCCGCGAGAACCTGAAGCGCTTGGTGGGTAAAGACGTTAGCTCGGCTTGGAGTTCATTCACAGAGACGTGCTGTGATTACTTGTTTCCCAGGCAGCATTTCTTGCGTGTGCCAGGCCCCGGCACAGCCGGGAGCAGGAGAGCTCAGACCCTGCCCTCGTGGAGCCAAATCCCTATCCCCGGGGTCGGGGGGCGCGGGGCGCTCACAGCCCAGCGGGGAAGACAGGTGACAGACATAAAGCAAAAGCGATCTGTCAGGTGGTGATGAGAGGGGGAGGAGAAGGAAGGTGAGACCTCGGTGGGAAGGGGCTGGAAGGACTGTGGTGTGGTCAGGGCAGAGAACCTGGTGGGTCCCAGAGAAGGGCATCTGGGCAGGGTACAGGCCTGCGCCAGGCACGTGGGAGCTCAGGCACGCTTGGCAGTGTGGCTGGAGCACAGTGGTCAAGGAGGGTGAGGCCTGGCTGGTGTCTTCCAGTGGTTAGAGCGCCAGTCTGCACACTGAGGGGTTACGGGCACGATTCCTGGTCAAGGGCATGTGCCTGGGTTATGGGTTCGCTCCCTGTTCTTGGTTGGGGCGCATGCAGGAGGCAACCGACGGATGCGTCTCTCTCACATCGATGTTTCTCCCCCCCCACCACCCTCCTTTACACTCGCTCTGAAAGCAATGGAAAAGATATCCTCGGGTGAGGATTAACCCAAAGAGAGGAGGGTGAGGGGTAAGGCTGGAGCAGTTTTACTCGGCTCTGATGGGCTGCCAGGGTGCAGACAAGGGAGGGGCAGTGAGGCCAGTGGGAGGCGGCTTAGTGATTGCAGCGAGGGAGGCCGGTGGTTTGGACCAGGCGGGAGGGCCGGGGCTCAGGCTTGGCTTGGGGATGAGGTGGAGCCCACAGGACTTCTCCAGAGGGGAGGGCGAGGAGCGTCGAGGGCGCCTAGGGGTTTGGCCTGAGCAACTAAAAGGGCAGAACTCCGTGAGGAGCACACGCTAGACATGGGAGCGGCAGGCTCTGGGGGTGTGTCACTGTCCACTCGGCCCGTGAGCTGCTGGGGAGACAGACGGCTGAGCTGTCAGGAGTTCTGGTACCTGCCCCACATGTATTAAAAACAAAACAAAAATGGGGCGCAAGGTGGAAGTGGCAGCGGGAAGACAGGTGCCAAGTGCAAGGATGTTGGGGTGCCGTGTGGTGGTCGGCTGCTTCCAGCAACGCCTCTTCAGAAGCTAACTACTGATGACAAGGGATCCCCCTCTCCTCCTCCCCCTGCTGGTGTGGGAGTTGTTCCTTAATCACACTGTCGGGCACGGGTCCAGCCCTGCTTTTCGTACATTTGGGAGCATAGGTTGCAGACAAGTGGGAGGTGCCTTAGCATGCGGGTGCGCCCCGACACCACCCCTGGTTGAGGATGCAGGGGCGGGGGGTCTGGGAGAAGCCAGGTCTGGACACACCAGTGGGAGCCGGGGCTTGGCTCTGGAGTTAGGCATGGTTCTTTTTTCATGGTCATCAGAAGCAGCCATCTGTACTAATAAAAGCTAATATGCTAATTAGACTGGACAGACCGGATGTCCTTCCAGACAAAGCCGCCACAGCTGAGAGGGCTGAGGGCAAGGCGGCCGCAGCAGCTGGCAGTGGCAGCATCAGCGGGGTGATGGGGGCGGCGCCTTCCCCGATTGGCCCAGTTGCCTCCTGCAGAGGGAGCGGGCCTAAGCCATCAGCAGGTCCTGCCCTGAGGGGTCCTGGACTGTGAGAGCTGTGAGAGGGGGCAGGCTGGGCCGAGGGACCCTCTCCCCCCCCCCAAGTGCATGAATTTTTGTGCACCGGGCCTCTAGTTGATTATAAAATCAAATAAAAATCCTTCCCAGGGATTGTTTGGGGGAAAAGCCCATGTTTCTAAAACAAGATTATCTGGAGACTGTGTCTGATGTCTGCAGTCCCCAGGCCCCATCCAGCCAGTGTCTGACCCACAGGAGGTGCTCCGTCAGGTGCTTGCTGAATGAATGAATGAATGAATGAATGAATGAATGAATGAGTGCGTATGTGAATGAATGAATGGAGTGGGAGAAGTGCTGGGTGGGGTAACCGGGAGGTCGCACACAGTGACTGGCGTTAAAATCGCCTCTGACCCTGAGTGATGGGTGCATGAGGGTCTGTTCACTCTTCCTTCTAATTTTGTAAGTGCTCTAAGTTTCCTATAATAAAAAGTTAAAGAAACATTGCCTCTTAGCACAAGTCTGGTGAGGCCCTGGGCCACATGCTCACCCAGGTGCTCAGGGCCCCGCCTATGCCCCTTTAGCTTTTCCCTGTGTGTGGCGTCTAGAACGCGGCCACTCCCCTGGCCCGTTCCACTCCTTAGTACATGTGTGCTGCTCGTTGCGTGTCAGCACGTGGGCACAGCCACGTGTGACCTCGCTTTGTGCTCCACGTCCCTTTAAGGGGCATAAGGCCAATAACTCCTGCCCAGAGCCAGGGTCCGGCCTGCTGCAGCCCCCCACACCCTCCCACCTTCTTTCCCACCAGCCCATTGTGAGCCCCCCCCCTCCCCAACCCGGGGTGTCCTGCAGCCCAGACTGCAGGTGCCGTAGCTGGGGGCCTGGCAGCTCTGAGTTTGTTCCTAACATGTCCACGTTGCCTTCACAGAAGCATGTTGTGGAGACATTTTTTGGATTTGATGAGGAGTCTGTGGACTCGGAAACCTTGTCAGAGACGTCCTGCAACACAGACAGGACGGACAGGGCCCCGGCCACCCCCGAAGAGGACCTGGACGACGTAAGCGAGCCTCGGGCCAGACACGGGGGTTGTGGCACTTCCGGCCCCTGCTCCCCACTGAGAGCTCTCACCCCAGGGGACCTGGGATAGCACAGCCCATCGGGTCAGGGGAGGTGGTCCCCTTCATGGGCTCTGGATGGCTGGGGGCACTGGCAGGCGTGGGGTCCCTTTCCCTCCCCAGCACCGATTTCACAGAGGATCTGAGGTCGCCTCGGGGTGACTTACCCTTTGTGATGGAAATTGCTGTGTGGTGGCCTGTCCCTCATTCTGCTACACACACACACACATACCTGCACACACACACAGATTCCATACATGCACACACGCACCACACCACCTGGTGGGAGCAGCACGGCTGCCCCTTCCATCATAGAGCAGGCTCCTGTAGGAGAGACTGCAAACACTGGGGGAGGAAGGTGTAAACCTGCCGGAAGCCTCCCAGCCGAGGCCCCTCCCCCTTCCTAGGGACCTGGGTCCCCAGGTGTGAAGAGGGGCTTCCTTCTCTCCCCGCCCCCACCCCCAGCCCAGTTTTCTTAGGAAAATGGAGTAAAATGCGACCATGCCAGGCACGGGCTTTTGATGTCTCTTCTCACTGACAGTAACAGGTGTCTCAGCACCGAAAGCCTGCTCCACACCGTCCTCTCGAGCACGCGGGACTGTGTCCTGTGGGTGCACGTGGGCATTTAACTTGACGGCCCTGTGACGGGCGTGTGCAGACAGCGCGCTGACTGACGCCCTCCCTGCAGGCGCGTGTTCGCACACTCGGTGTCACCTTCGTGGAGGAGATCCCGGTGTGAGGGTGCTGTGGGGCGGGCACAGGCACACAGGCCCCCGCGAGTCGGCGCTGGCTCCCGGTCACATGACTCGCGGTTCCCAGGGTCGGCCCTGGCGTTGCTCTCAGCGCCGTCCACTCCCGGCTGGGAGGTTCCCCAGGTCATCGTGGGCAGCAGCGGTGGGTGTGGGCCCTGCCCCGGACGACACCCGGTCATGCTGTCATTGCTTCTGTCCTTGCCTCCAGACGACCACCAGGGAGGAGGCCGACCTGCGGTTCTGCCAGCTGACCAGGGAGTACCAGGCCCTGCAGCGGGCCTACGCCCTCCTGCAGGAGCAGGTGGGGGGCACGCTGGACGCCGAGCGGGAGGCCCGGGTGAGTGCGCGGCTGGGCCGGGAGGGCTGGGCAGGGGCCCGCCGTGCCCTTCCTCGCGCTGTGGTTCTGTGGCCCTGTCGGGAGGCATGGAGGGGATTCTGAGAGGTGACGGGGTGGGGGACACATCACAGACTCTCGCGGCGGCAGTGTCCCAGCGTTTGTCAAACCCCCGGAAACCTGAGGGACTGTCAGGGTGCCCTCAGTCCCTGCCGGCCACCGGGTCCAGGCCACGCCTGCCCTCGTGCTGGGCTGAGCTCTGTCTTCCTATAACGTCCACCTACTGGCCCTTACCCACCTTCAGGGGTCACACAGACCAGGGGCTGCTTGCCCTTCCTCTGAGAGCGAGGGGACCGCGGAGAGCACACCCCGGGCCAGTGCACACCTAGTGTCCCCGTTCATCCCGCGAGGCAGCGGTGGCGAGGGAGGCTGCAGGGAGGCCGCTCCTGAGCCACAGACTCCGGCCCGTAACGTGTAGGTCCGCCGAGGTCAATGGCTGGGCGTGGTTTGAGCTGAGCCGTGCGGTTTTTATGAGGAATTTTATCTGGTTGCCAACATTGAAAAGTCAAGAAATTTCACATGGACCTCCAGGTGCCCGCTTCTCTCGGGGAGTCAGACCTTCGGCAGCTCCAGGCTTCCGGCTGTACGGGTAGCATGTGGAGTCAGCTGAGTGGCCGTTTTCCCCGAGATGGACCGTGCACGCCCCGTGTGCCCCAGTCCCCACCACTCCCTGTTACCCCACACTCAGTTCTCAGCCCTTGCCCTGGGTGATCTGATATGCACCAGGCGGGTGTGAAAGTGCTCAGGAGTGCTGGTGATTGCGCATGAGCAGCCGCTGAACTTGGCCGGGAGCCGGTGAGAGCCTGCCGCGTCCGGCTCCGGGCTTGCTCAGCCCCGTGAAGGCGCTGCCTCTCCTCCAGGCCTCCGTGTCCTTGTCTGTAACACCAGGGTCAGACCTGACAGCTCGCAGGCCTGTTGTTCTTCGGACGTTTACATCTGAGGGGAGAGCCTGCAGGCCCCCAGGTGGGCCGCGTCGGAGCGCGTGCTCCTGAACACGGGCCTGTTTCTAAGGCCTGGCTGCGGCGTGACCCTTCCCGCGACTCAGCCGCCATCGAGATGACCCGCTCACCTTCTGGCCTTTTCATTCCAGACCCGGGAGCAGCTGCAAGCCGATCTGCTGCGGTGTCAGGCCAAAATTGAGGACTTGGAGAAGCTGTTGGCCGAGAGGGGTCAGGTGAGCACCGAGGTCGTGTGATGTCCCTGGGGCCTGGGGCTTGGGGCCGAGGGGGCTCTGCCACCCTGCCGTTCGCTCCCGAGACATTAGGGGGAAAAGCACTAGCGGAACCCAGGCAAGAACACCCCTGCGAGCGGCCTGCATGTGGGCCTTTAAAAACTCACAATTCCGAAACTCTAACTTGGCTCACTTTTTGCTTGTTTGCACAAAAATAGGACACAATTCCAAAAGCAAAGTGGTGACCAAAATCTTTTTTGACTTGTATCTGAAGAAAAGCTGCCATTGACGCCGAAGAGATAATTGTGAAAATGAGCTGGGCCCGCCACTAGCTGTCAATCTCGGCAGAGGCCCCGCCCCCGCCCCAGGTCTCCTGCTGTGACCGTCTCATAGAATCCGGCCCCCCTGCTTCTCAGATTAGCACCACCTCCGTGTATGCGTCCTCTGCACTTGGTCAGGCCTGGGGACAGCAGGACACGGGAGAGGGGCCAAGCCAGACCTGTCCCTTGGGGTGGGGAGCACCCTAACTGCTGGGGAGAAGGGAGCCCGGAGCCACTGGAGCAGAGGAGGGAGAGGGAGTATCTTCCTGTATTCATTCACCCGCCCTCTGTCTTCCCTGACACTGGCTGTGTGCCAGTCACCGTGCCGGGCGCTGGGGACACACAGCGACAGGATGGGCTAGTGCCGTGTGCTCATGGGCTGACCTGGGTGGGCTGTGGTCCGGGTGGCTCGGCCAGGCGCCTAGAGTGAGCACAAGGGTGTCGCTGTGGGGACGCCGGCCCGTGGGCTGCAGCGAGCCCGCAGGAGAGGGGGTCTGCGGGCCGACCTGGTCACGGTCACGGTGCGGCTGTTTCTGCCGCGGATACAGACCCCGGTCCCTGTGCTTTTAGGGACGTGAGCCGGGAGCAGGGTTGTTCCGCAAACCAGCCGCTCCTCTCTCTGGGGTTGAAGGTGAGGGGCCGGCGAGGTCGCTCTAGCTGCTGCCCTCTTCCGGGCTCCCAGGGAAAGCCCCTCCCCCGTGGCCTTCCTCGTGGCCACTGTGGCTGGGCCGGGCGCCGCGCCAGGGAGTGTGACATGCCCAGTGCTTTTCCGCAGGATTCCCAGTGGGTGGAGGAGAAGCAGCTGCTCATGAGAACCAACCAGGAGCTGCAGGAGAAGGTACGTGCGCCAGCGCCGCCCCGCGCCAGCCTCCCTGGCAGCACCCAGGGCCGTCCTTACGTTCGTTCATCAGAGCCCGGTTCCTGGGGGCTCCCGGCCCCTGGTCCTGGCTCTGTCCTGGGGAGGGCAGCAGGGCTGACCTGGACCTTCCCCAGGGCACCTGCTGACAAGGTCACGTGTCTGTCCGGATGGGGCTTCCCGAGCCCCTCCCAGGGGCGGGCCTACGACACTGATTGACTGGCTGTTCATGGACTGGAGGTCATGGTGCTGGCAGGGCTGAGCCTGCCCTCCCTCTCCGGTCATGGAACTTTCTGGAACTCTCTCCAGGAGTTGGCTCGGGGAAATAAGTCTCATGCTTTGGGACAGACCTTAATTTTTTTCTAACCTCTCTACAATTCAGTGAGTCGTGCAGCCATCACCACAGTGCAGGTTCAGGCCGTTTCCCGCCCCCTGCAGTCCCTCCCCGCCCCCTCCCCGGCCCTGGCAGCCACCATGGACTTTCTGACCCTCCAGGTCTGCCTTGCTGCACCTTCCGTGCTAGGGGACCAGACCTGGGTAGGCCTGGCTTTAGGCGTCCTAGATGCCAGGGCTGGACAGGCCTGGCCGGGCCCTGGGGGGGGGGGGGGGGGCGGGGGAGGGCCTTGGTGTAGCCCCAGCTCTGCACTGACCCCTTGTGGCCGTTCGCTGTCCTGTGCTACTTCTCACATTTGGGCCGCTGTCCTGTGAGGTGGCCCTGTGCGTTGGGAGAGCGGTTCTGTCCTGCTCGCTCAATTCTGGGAGCCACAGAAAGCTCCTGTACTGTTTCCACATGTCCGCTGGGGGCGGGGCCCCTCTCCCGTGCCCCTGGCGTGAGGTCAGAGTGACTGTGACGGACAAGGTCCTCGGCTCTGTGAGCTTCTCAGTCCTGCAGCCGGGAACTTGGGCGGCTGTTCTCCTGGAAGCCACTGAGCGCAGAGCAGTTAGCAGCTCGGCCAGGGGCTCCCGGAGGGGGGGGGCGCGGGGCGGGGCGGGGAGCGGGCAGGGCTGGGAGCTGGAGGACAGCCAGCATGACCTTCTCCAGGGCCTGGGGCCTCCAGCAGGTGCTTCCTCTGTGGCCGCTGGACTCGCCCGGATTAGAAGGACATGGACAGGCTTGGGGGTCACTCTCCCTTCCCCACCATCGACCTCAGGGAAGGGACTTCATCGCTCTGGGCCTCCGTTTCCCCATCATCCGTTTATTCAGCAAATAGATGAGGCGGCCCTTCTCTGGGCCGGGCTCGGGGCTGCGGGGCGACCCGGTGCCGCACCAGCCCGGCTCCTCGCCGTGGCCCGTCCCGCCCCGCCCTCCTGGTCAGGGGACACGCCTCTCGTGGCCCGGGAGGGACGGCCGTGCTGCCCCCTGAGCCGCGGCTCCTTCTGCTCTAGGTGCACCGGCTGGAGGTGGAAGAGCGCCAGCTGAAGAGCGACATGCAGGACGCGCGGGACCAGAACGAGCTGCTCGAGTTCAGGGTGCTCGAGCTCGAAGTAAGGGACTCTCTCTGTTGTAAGCTCTCAAACGGCGCAGACATTCTCTTTGAGCCCAAACTGAAATTCCTGTAACGCTCCCGGACGCCCCGAGCATGTGGAAAGGGGACGCGGCCCAGAGGTTTCTTTCTTTTCTCTCCCGTTTTAAAACCTGTATGTTCAGAATGATTTCACTGCCTTAATGTTCTGGAGGGAATGCTCGCCGCAGTCCTGGGACCTGTACCAGAGCGCATCTCTTTATTGCCTACGGCTTGTTTTGCACTTAATAAAATACTTTGTTTTTGCAATATTTTGCCTTTTTTATTTGTGTTTCATTCCACAACGACTTCTTCCCTGCATGCCGGTCGCCTGGTGCGCATTCTGCAAGCCCGGCCACCGCCCTGCTGTAGGCAGTGACACTTTTAAAGCGGCCGCGCATGCTGTGCGTGGCGCCTCCCGAAACGGCAGGTCCCGAGCCTCTGTAGTGTGGGTCCCGCTAGCCTGACCCGCTTTCTGTTGGCCAAGGCAAACACAGGTAAGTGAGCCAGGGAGGAGGAGGGACTCGCACAGGCAGTTCAGGAAACTCCTCACGTTGCTTCAACTCTTTCCTCCAGTGCGGACAGACCTGGCAGCACAGCTCTGGGCTAAAAAGCCACTCAACTGCAGCTGACAGCCACGCCTTAGCCCAGAGCGTGACTGACATTGTACATGGTAGACATCGTGGGGTTTTTGTTTGTTTGCTTTTAAAATATATTTTTATTAATTTCAGAGAGGAAGGGAGAGGAAGAGAGAGAGAAACATCAGTGACGAGAGAGAATCATGGATCGGCTGCCTCCTGCACGTCCCACACTGGGGATCAAGCCCACAACCCGGGCATGTGCCCTGACCGGGAATGGAACCGTGACCTCCTGGTTCATAGGTTGATGCTCAGCCACTGAGCCACGCCGGCCGGGCTGGACATCGTGTTAAACCTTCAGTTGCTCCCCACTGCAGAGTCGGGCCTCGTGTGGCATTGCCGATGGTTTCATGGCTTCCCACGGAAACCTTCCTGTCACTAGCGCCTCGCTGCCACTCACTTCCTAATCCTTCCTGTTTGTTTGTTTCCGCTGAACACTCGTCGACATCCCGACATCTCCTGCGTTTGTGAGGGTTCCCGGCAGGCCCGGCTCCGCTGTCCCTCTGCGTGCGCGGGACCCGCAGGCCACGTTTCCGACTTTGCTTTCTTCTCCCGGCTTCCGTTTCAGTCCTGTTTGCTAGAACCTACCGTCTGGTCCTTGGTCGCTGGCCTGGGCCACGGCGGGGTCTCAGGAACCAGTGTGACTGCCCGTGGCCCTGGCTCGTGAGAGCTGGTGTTTCATTTGTGCAGCAGAAATCGGCAGTTACGAGGTTGAGGGCGTCATGAACACGTCGGCCCTGTTAGAAAACCCTTTAAGGGTCTTAGTTACTCATCTTTCTCCTGAGCGTTCTACCAGCATTGCTCAGTTTACAGAATTTTCTCCAGGTGTCTCACTGTCCCTCAGAGCCATTAGAGTGTTCTAACTTCCACTCCCATGAAATACGAGCTTTCTCTTATGACCTTTTCTATGGAGATTCCATTTAAGTGGGTAGAAAGGCACCCGCTGGATGGGGCAATTGCAAATTCTGTGTTTTGGCTCATCAGGCAAACCAGGTTTCTCTAAACTGTTTCAAGCCCAGGTGAGAAGGAAACTGAATGAATGAATGACTCTCTCTCCTTTATCGCTGCCCACCATTTCCCTAAACTGGGCCCACTGGCTACGCTCCTCGCCTCAGTGGTAAGGGCGCCCATGACCCAGTGGGCCCTGCAGGTGTGGTCCGACCCAAGCGTGTTACCTCACTGCAGCCCGAGAAGGGGGCGGTGTGGGCTCGGGCGCATGTGCGAAGGCCGCTGCTGGCCGGCCTGTCCGTGGCTCCGGGAGTGAGGGCAGCGCCAGGGAGGAAACCCTCGAGACCGGAGGACTGTTGGCCGCTGGGCTGTATTCCTGTGAGCGGCTGGGCTGCCCCTGTCCTTTCTGAAAACGTGTCACTTCGTGGTGATGAATAAGAGCCTCTTCTGGGAAAATGCTTTTCCCTCCCTGGTCCCTGAGATCTGACTCCATCCAAGGCAGGGGCGTGGTGACCACTGGTGTGTGCGCGGGGTTAAAAAGCACCTTGAAACAACCGGATGAATCGCAGATTAAATGAACAGTGTGTGGAGCCAGGGTCCCAGCCCTGCCGCTCACTCCGTCTCCTTGTCTAAGATGAAAGCGATACGCCTGCCTCTGGGGTCGTGTGAGGATCGCACGAGACAACGTGCCCAGGGCACCGGGCACTGGGCACTGGCACTCGGTGGCCTTCGGCACTTGTTGCCAGTATGAAACATTCCATATTTGCTGATGGTGAGCCTTCCTGGCTCCCCTCTCCCGCGTCCTCAGTTAACCATTTCTTCCCAGCGACGTGGTCAGAGGTGAACAGGTGTCCACAGGAGGTCGCGCTGTTCCGCCGACGAGGATGCGTAGTCTGAACGGGCGCTTTTTAGGAGCATCTTTGCCCACTGGAATTCGTTAGTTTGTGCCAAGTAACGTGGGGGAAATGGCAAGTGGAAACTAATTCAATAAAGTCCTGTGTTTAAACCAAATCTTCTCCCCAGGAGAGAGAGCGGAGGTCGCCCGCGTTTAACCTCCAAATCGCCAGCTTCCCCGAGAACCACAGCAGCGCCCTCCAGCTGTTCTGCCACCAGGAAGGAGTTAAGGTAGGTGCCAGGGGCCGGGGTGCGGGGCAGGGCTGGGAGGAGAGGGGGTGCCTCCGCTTCGGCCCGGGGCAGCTCGATGCCAGGGATAGAATGCGTTTTCATAAGAGACCCCTACCCGCCCCCCCACACACATCCTGAAAGTCATAGTTCATGATTTCAGCGAGTCACCAATGGCTACCCTGTTTGTACCCCGCGATGAAAGAACAGAGACGTGGGAGGTGGCCCTGAGTGCCGACCCTCGCCCTGGCCCGTAACCTCCCTGACCTTCCGTCGCCTCTCGTCTCTGAGGCCTGGGCGGGTCCGTTAACCGAGAGGAGCCCTCGGTGTGGTGCCCGACAGGCAGGGGCGCCCTGGCCAGGACGGCTGTGGTTGTCTAACAGCCGGTGTTTGTCCTGCTCCCGGAGGCGGGTAAGACCTTCCCATGGGCACAGAGACGGTGCTCCTGGCCCACAGGCTGCCGTGGCCGCTTGGGAGCAGGGACCTAACACGCAGCAGCCTGTCCCTATAAGGGGAGGAGGGGAGCGCGTAGGGGGCAGTGAGGACTGTGGCCCGAGAGCCTGGCGCCACGTGCTGTCGCGCACTCAGAAATGACGGTTGCATCTCTTCCAGGACGTGGATGTGTCCGACCTGATGAAGAAGCTAGACATCCTGGGCGATAACGGGGTAACTACGGGCGACTGGCTCTGGGTTCCGTGTCTCGTTGTGGTTCAGTGTATTGCGTGGCTTTCGTTCTGTTTTCCTTTCTTCCTAATGTAAGAGATCGAATACGTACAATGTAAGGCTTTTATGTGGCCGTGTTCCCTGGGGTGGCTGGGTCTGCAGTCCTCAGATGTGGGGTTCTTGCCAGAAGTGGGGTTCTCCGGTTAGCTCGTCCTCTGAGCCTGAGTGATGAGGGGGGGGAAGCATAAGAATGAATCCCCAGTGAGATAGTGGAGTCCCCCAAGATTTCTGAATCACAAAGTGAGATTTTTACTTTCCTAAAAGGTTGGCTTGGTGCCACCCTGTGACAGGTTCCCAAGCAGAAGGCCAGAGCTCAGAGAGGATGTCTCTGCCATTAAAAGCTGACCTTGAGAGAGGGGGGCTGACCTTGAGAGAGTGGGGGTGACCTTGAGAGGGGGTTGACCTTGAGTGGGGGCTGACCTTGAGAGAGGGCTGACCTTGAGAGAGGGCTGACCTTGAGAGGGGGCTGACCTTGAGTGGGGCTGACCTTGAGAGGGGCTGACCTTGAGAGAGGGCTGACCTTGAGAGGGGGCTGACCTTGAGAGAGTGGGGCTGACCTTGAGAGGGGGCTGACCTTGAGAGGGTGGAGGACACGCTCAGAGAGGACCTGGCAGTTGTCTAGCCCGAAGGCCTGCGGGATCCCGTGCCAACGCCCTTGCCGGTTTTGTGTTTTAGAATCTGAGAAACGAAGAGCAGGTGGCCATCATCCAGGCCGGGACTGTGCTCGCGCTGTGTGAGAAGGTAGAGCCCCGCTCCGCACTGCACTCGCGCCGGGCTTAGGGCGCAGGCCCGTCTGTCGGTCTGTCGGTCTGTCCGTTGGTCGCTGCATGCGCTCGTGCACGGCTCCTGTTTCCTGATGGCGGGTCACTCCCGACCTGGGTGTGCTTCCTTCCGGCCTGGCCCCCGCCCCGGGTTCCATGGCCTTGAACCCCTCACACTTCCAGGTTTATCCTCCCATGAGCTCCCCTCGCTGTGCCGCCCCCGCTGTCCGGCCGGGCGGCCACGCCATAGTCTTCCCTCCGCTAAGACATTGAGGGATTTCCACTTCCTTCCTATTGACCTCGGGCGGTGCCAGCGTTTCCCTGTCTCATCCCATTTAACCGCCCGCCGGGTAGGTCCGGAAGCGGACTGGCTGGTGATGGCGAGAGGGTCCTGAGCACTTGGTCAGCTCGGTTTCCGGGGCAGCTGGCTTCTCCCTTGCAGAGCTGAGGACCTGGGCCTGCCTGGCCTGTGGCTGCAGTCCGCCTGGTTCCTGTCACCCCCACGCACTTCCTCCAGCCTCTTCCCGCTGCTGCCCATCTGCCCCGACCCCCAGAATGCACCAGGCTGTGCCCTGACCACAAAGAACTGCGTCAGCCTCCTCCCCAACCCCCACCCCCGCCAGCTCCCCCCCCAGCTCCTCCCTCCCTGCCAGCTCCTCCCCTTCCTCCAGCTCCTCCCCTTCCTCCAGCTCCTCCCCTTTCTGCCAGCTCCTCCCTCCCTGCCAGCTCCTCCCCTCCCTGCCAGCTCCTCCCCTCCCTGCCAGCTCCTCCCCTTCCTGCCAGCTCCTCCCCTTTCTGCCAGCTCCTCCCTTCCTGCCAGCTCCTCCCCTTCCTGCCAGCTCCTCCCCTTCCTGCCAGCTCCTCCCCTTCCTGCCAGCTCCTCCCCTTTCTGCCAGCTCCTCCCCTCCCTGCCAGCTCCTCCCCTTCCTGCCAGCTCCTCCCCTTTCTCCAGCTCCTCCCCTTTCTCCAGCTCCTCCCTTCCTGCCAGCTCCTCCCCTTTCTCCAGCTCCTCCCTTTGCTGCCAGCTCCTCCCCTTTCTGCCAGCTCCTCCCCTTTCTCCAGCTCCTCCCCTTTCTCCAGCTCCTCCCTTTGCTGCCAGCTCCTCCCCTTTCTCCAGCTCCTCCCTTTGCTGCCAGCTCCTCCCCTTTCTCCAGCTCCTCCCTTTGCTGCCAGCTCCTCCCTTTGCTGCCAGCTCCTCCCCTTTCTCCAGCTCCTCCCTTTGCTGCCAGCTCCTCCCCTTCCTGCCAGCTCCTCCCCTTTCTCCAGCTCCTCCCCTTTCTCCAGCTCCTCCCTTCCTGCCAGCTCCTCCCCTTTCTCCAGCTCCTCCCTTCCTGCCAGCTCCTCCCCTTTCTCCAGCTCCTCCCCTTCCTGCCAGCTCCTCCCCTTTCTCCAGCTCCTCCCCTTTCTCCAGCTCCTCCCCTTCCTGCCAGCTCCTCCCCTTTCTCCAGCTCCTCCCTTTGCTGCCAGCTCCTCCCCTTTCTGCCAGCTCCTCCCCTTTCTCCAGCTCCTCCCCTTTCTCCAGCTCCTCCCCTTGCTGCCAGCTCCTCCCCTTTCTCCAGCTCCTCCCTTTGCTGCCAGCTCCTCCCCTTTCTCCAGCTCCTCCCTTTGCTGCCAGCTCCTCCCTTTGCTGCCAGCTCCTCCCCTTTCTCCAGCTCCTCCCTTTGCTGCCAGCTCCTCCCCTTCCTGCCAGCTCCTCCCCTTACTCCAGCTCCTCCCCTTTCTCCAGCTCCTCCCTTTCTGCCAGCTCCTCCCCTTTCTCCAGCTCCTCCCTTCCTGCCAGCTCCTCCCCTTCCTCCAGCTCCTCCCCTTCCTGCCAGCTCCTCCCCTTTCTCCAGCTCCTCCCCTTTCTCCAGCTCCTCCCCTTCCTGCCAGCTCCTCCCCTTTCTCCAGCTCCTCCCCTTTCTCCAGCTCCTCCCTTCCTGCCAGCTCCTCCCCTTTCTCCAGCTCCTCCCTTCCTGCCAGCTCCTCCCCTTTCTCCAGCTCCTCCCCTTTCTCCAGCTCCTCCCCTTCCTGCCAGCTCCTCCCCTTTCTCCAGCTCCTCCCCTTCCTGCCAGCTCCTCCCCTTTCTCCAGCTCCTTCCTTCCTGCCAGCTCCTCCCCTTTCTCCAGCTCCTCCCCTTTCTCCAGCTCCTCCCCTTCCTGCCAGCTCCTCCCCTTTCTCCAGCTCCTCCCTTCCTGCCAGCTCCTCCCCTTTCTCCAGCTCCTCCCTTCCTGCCAGCTCCTCCCCTTTCTCCAGCTCCTCCCCTTCCTGCCAGCTCCTCCCCTTTCTCCAGCTCCTCCCTTCCTGCCAGCTCCTCCCCTTCCTGCCAGCTCCTCCCCTTCCTGCCAGCTCCTCCCCTTCCTGCCAGCTCCTCCCCTTTCTGCCAGCTCCTCCCCTCCCTGCCAGCTCCTCCCCTTCCTGCCAGCTCCTCCCCTTTCTCCAGCTCCTCCCCTTTCTCCAGCTCCTCCCTTCCTGCCAGCTCCTCCCCTTTCTCCAGCTCCTCCCTTTGCTGCAGCTCCTCCCCTTTCTGCCAGCTCCTCCCCTTTCTCCAGCTCCTCCCCTTTCTCCAGCTCCTCCCTTTGCTGCCAGCTCCTCCCCTTTCTCCAGCTCCTCCCTTTGCTGCCAGCTCCTCCCCTTTCTCCAGCTCCTCCCTTTGCTGCCAGCTCCTCCCTTTGCTGCCAGCTCCTCCCCTTTCTCCAGCTCCTCCCTTTGCTGCCAGCTCCTCCCTTTGCTGCCAGCTCCTCCCCTTTCTCCAGCTCCTCCCTTTGCTGCCAGCTCCTCCCCTTCCTGCCAGCTCCTCCCCTTTCTCCAGCTCCTCCCCTTTCTCCAGCTCCTCCCTTCCTGCCAGCTCCTCCCCTTTCTCCAGCTCCTCCCCTTCCTGCCAGCTCCTCCCCTTTCTCCAGCTCCTCCCCTTTCTCCAGCTCCTCCCCTTCCTGCCAGCTCCTCCCCTTTCTCCAGCTCCTCGCCTTTCTCCAGCTCCTCCCTTCCTGCCAGCTCCTCCCCTTTCTCCAGCTCCTCCCTTCCTGCCAGCTCCTCCCCTTTCTCCAGCTCCTCCCCTTTCTCCAGCTCCTCCCCTTCCTGCCAGCTCCTCCCCTTTCTCCAGCTCCTCCCCTTCCTGCCAGCTCCTCCCCTTTCTCCAGCTCCTTCCTTCCTGCCAGCTCCTCCCCTTTCTCCAGCTCCTCCCCTTTCTCCAGCTCCTCCCCTTCCTGCCAGCTCCTCCCCTTTCTCCAGCTCCTCCCCTTCCTGCCAGCTCCTCCCCTTTCTCCAGCTCCTCCCTTCCTGCCAGCTCCTCCCCTTTCTCCAGCTCCTCCCTTCCTGCCAGCTCCTCCCTCCCTGCCAGCTCCTCCCTCCCTGCCAGCTCCTCCCTTCCCTGCCAGCTCCTCCCCTTTCTGCCAGCTCCTCCCTCCCTGCCAGCTCCTCCCTTCCCTGCCAGCTCCTCCCCTTTCTCCAGCTCCTCCCTTCCTGCCAGCTCCTCCCTCCCTGCCAGCTCCTCCCTCCCTGCCAGCTCCTCCCCTCCCTGCCAGCTCCTCCCCTTTCTGCCAGCTCCTCCCTCCCTGCCAGCTCCTCCCTTCCCTGCCAGCTCCTCCCCTTTCTCCAGCTCCTCCCTTCCCTGCCAGCTCCTCCCCTTTCTCCAGCTCCTCCCCTTCCTGCCAGCTCCTCCCCTTTCTCCAGCTCCTTCCTTCCTGCCAGCTCCTCCCCTTTCTCCAGCTCCTCCCCTTTCTCCAGCTCCTCCCTTCCTGCCAGCTCCTCCCTCCCTGCCAGCTCCTCCCTCCCTGCCAGCTCCTCCCTTTCCTGCCAGCTCCTCCCCTTTCTGCCAGCTCCTCCCTCCCTGCCAGCTCCTCCCCTCCCTGCCAGCTCCTCCCCTCCCTCCAGCTCCTCCCTTCCTGCCAGCTCCTCCCTCCCTCCAGCTCCTCCCTTCCTGCCAGCTCCTCCCTCTGCTGCCAGATCCCACGCGGGTGGGCGGGAGCAGGAGCTGCTCATGCTGAGGACCCCAGCTCTGTCAGGCGGACGGGGTCCAGCTCCCGTGTGGGACGGTTTGGGGACTGGACTTAGATGGCCGTTTCCACGCCCGGCCACATGTCTGCGAGCAAAGTGAAGCGCTCAGGAGTTGCTCCCCCCTAGAGGGAGTGTGGGTGCTGAGAGCGGCCCCCCAAACAGTGGCGCCCGCCGAGAGCGATGGCGGGACAGCTGGGGTGACCGCCCGAGGGGCTGGCTCAGGACCCAGGGTTTTCCTGGGACGTGGGCATCTCAGAGCTGAAATGGGACGGTCCCCACCAGGCAGACAGCGCGGGCGGCCGGACGGCGAGCTGGTCGCCCTGCAGAGCGGTTCTCCGCGGGCCCTGCCGCCTCCGCCAGCCCCTCGGCCGGCCGCTCGCAGTGTAGAGGCGTCACTCACACCCGCACCGGCACCGGGGCCGCGGCAGTGTTCTGGTTGGAGGCGCAGACCCGCGTCCCGGCGCGAGCGGACCCCGGGGACCCCGCGGAGGCCGCCTCCCCTCCCCGGGGAGCCCTGTCCCCTCAGCTCCCGGCCGGCCCCTGGTCAGCGGAGTCCGGGGTCAGGGACCAGGCCTTGCCCTCCCCCACGTGGCTCGTGCCCCGCAGAGAAGCCGGACACGGCCCCGAGGGTCACAGGTGACGGCGGGTCACACCTCTTCCCCTCGGGTTCAAAACTCACCCGAAAGGTGGACGCTTTGAGTCCCCATCCCGCGGGTGACTTCGGGGCCGCGGTCAGACCTGCTCACGGCCGGCCTGGGTCAGGGAGGCGGGTGAGGGTCCGCCCTGCAGCGTGGGCCGCGGGAGCTGGGGGGGTGCACCTGCCGGCTCCCAGACTCCTCCAGGCCCGGGGCGCACTCGCCGCTGCCCAGCCCCGGCCCCCGCGGAGGAGGAGGCCCCGCGGACTGGCCGACCCCGATGTGGAGCTGGCGACCGCGCCTGCCCACGGGGCTCCTGGCCCGGGCTTCTGTCCTGGCGCCCGCCCGGTTCCCTCGTGTGCACAGCGCGCACCCCCTGCCGTGAGGCCAGAGGGAAACCTGACGTCCCGCCCTACAAAGCCTGTCTGAGCGCTGGCCCTGGTCGCGGAAACCCATGCCCCATTTTAGTTTATTCCTCACGACGGCGTGCGTTAGGGCATGAGAAACGGAACCGTCTCCCCGTCAAAAGCACGCTCACCTGTTCCTCAGACACCACACGCCGCTGGGCAGAGCCCCCCGAGGTGGGTGGGGGTGGGCCTGTGGGGCCGGAGCCTGTTCCCTCTGCGGCGGCGCACCCCCCGGACCCCACCCCTCGCCGCCTCCTTCGTTCAGCAGATGCTGGGGAGGCCGCCCCTCCTGCCGGGCCTGTGCTGGGCCAGGGCGTTGACAGAACGTGTCCCATGTGGCCCTCAGCGGGGCGTGGGACAGGCATTCACAGAGGACGTGGGGATCCGTGGGCGCCTGACCCCAGGGACGCAGGCAGCAGGGCCGGCTTCCTGGGGAGGCAGCAGCGAGCGCGGGCCGGGGGCTGCGGCGGGGTGGGGAGAGGTGGCGAGTTCGGGGCAGAGAGAGCAGCAGGTGCAAAGGCCCCGGGGCAAGGGCAGCGCGGCCTGCCTGTGGGCCAGAGGTCGTCAGGCGTGATTGGGGTGCGGATGCCCTTGGGGCTTTAAGCAGATGCATGTCCGTGAGGGAGCTGGCGGGCTGGGGGCGGGCAGGAGGGGTCCAGGTGAGCCTGGAGCTGAGGGGCCGAGCTGGGTGGGGACAGGGGCTGAGCGGGGGGAGCACATGAGAGGGTCTGAGGGGCAGGGGGGCAGAAACAGCACGGGGGGGGGGAGGAGCCAGGGTGCTCCCGGCGTCCGGGTGTGGGTGAGATGGGGCCTGGGAGGCGTGGAAGGAGCTGTGCACAGGGGTGGTGGGCGGCCTGGGCTGCTGGAGACACTTCAGAGGAAGCAGAGAGAGCAGGGGCCGGGCAGGGGAGGGGGCACGGAATGCGGGGAGCAGGAAGGGGGAGCACCCGGCAGCTGGGCATCGGGAAAGGTCAGGTGCACAGGCAGCAGGGGCAGGGAGGGGGTCTGCTGGCTTAGCAATGAGGCCAGACGCACACACTCCCACCCGTTGTCCAGCCCGAGCCCCACACCCCCCGCAGGCCAGGGCACCCGGTCTGTGGACTTCCTCCTTCTCAGGGGTGGGCTCCGCACAGGACTCACCCGCATGTCTACAGCCTGGGAAGCGGCCCTCAGCCCTCGGCAGCTGTGCCCGCCGCCCTCAGCCCCTCGCACACTGGTACTGGGCACATGTGGGACTCTCAGGCCCTCGCAGCTGCACCCCCTGCCTGGCTGGACCCCTCTCCTGCCTGCATGCCGTGGTGCACTGGCTGCTCAGACATGCCTGGGCGTGGGGGCTGCAGGGGGCAGTGCTGAGGTTTGGGTTCAAAATCCCCGCTCCCCACCCATGTGATCTTGGACAAGGGACTGAACCCCAGGTCCTCACCCGTAAGCTGGGGCGAGGCCGGAGGAGGTCCGGGCTGCAGCCACCGGCACAGCACATGGCAGAGTAGCCTCGGTGCCGCTCCCGGCCGGCTGCAGAGTCCAGATGCCCCACTCGCAGCCGTCCACGCTCGGGCCACCATGTGCTAGGAGGCTCCCACACCACGCGTGCCCACTGCCTCCGGTACTCACGGGCTCGCCCGGGTAACCCCCACACCCATCCACAGGCACGTGCCCGCACGCGTGTGTCCATGACCCGGCCGATCCCTGAGCAAACAGCTGGAACATCTGTAGAGACGGAAATTCCATCCTGAGGACTCCCCTGGGCGTGACGGGGCCTCACCCCCTGGGACCCAGGAGCCCCTCTGGGAGGAGGCCCCGCACGCCCGCCTGGCGGAATCCCGGCTGCGGGTCCTCATGCCGCCCCCGTCCTGCTCTCTTCCAGTGGCTGAAGCAGATAGAGGGCACCGAGGCGGCCCTGACCCAGAAGATGCTGGACCTGGAGAAGGAAAAGGTAAGCGCCGAGCCGGAGGAGGCGGCTGGAGGGGCTCAGGTGCCTCCCCGCCCCCTCGCCCCGGGAAACCTGGCGGGCGTTTCCCGTTACTTATTCGCACGTGTTTCTCTGGCTTTTGCCCTGGTGCCGTCTGGGTAACGAATGATCATCCATCCACTTCAATATTCACTTACTATATGTTTTGGGCATCTCTGCTGTCCGGGCCTGGTTCAGAGGTTCAGTACCGAAAGCGGGGCGCCTGCTGCCGGGAGCGGCCCCCAAGCCCCTGGGGCCGTGTGCTTATGAGTGACGGCCACGGTGCGGCGTGAAGTCAGGGGGGGCACGTCGGGGATACGGAGGCGCTTGGCCCAGGGGCTCCGGGGACATGCAGACAGGACCCAATCCTCACTGATCCCCTACGGGCCCGGGCCTCAGTTTCCTTAGCGATAAGTGGGTTCCATCTCCGCCTCGTGGGGCTGAGAGAGCCCAGATGCACAGCCTGTTTCTGCACAGAGCTGGGCGCATGTGGGCACCTGTGGCAGCCGGACAGGGCGAGGGAGCCAGGCGGGGGTGTCAGGAGAGAGGATGGTTGCGCCTTCTGAGACCAGCGACTTTTCTCAGTAGAAATGAGAGGCAAGGAAGGAGGGGATGGGAAGCACAGGCCGGAGCCGTGTGTGGTGTGGAAAGACCCTGAGCTGGAATCCCAGGGCCTGGGTTTTTAGTCCTGTCCGTCACCAGGCAACTAGGCATCCAGCACGAGGCTGTGGTCCACTCGGGCCCTCTGTTTCCTCATCAGTAAAGTCAAATGGCTACAGTGTAGGAGCTCTAACTCGGAAACCCTCGAATTCTCAATAGAGAGCGATTTGTGATCTGGAGGGATGGTGCTTGGGCTGAGGGTGGGACCTGGGGGGCGGGGGAGGGAGCGTGGGGCAGTGACACTCATCGGCAGGTGGTGGCGTCGGTCACGTGGGGCGGGACTGCCTCTGGGAAGGACTGAGACGGTCTGCAGGAGCCTCAGGATGTGGCAAGAGGAACAGGAAGGATTCCTGGGATCCAGGTCCCTTCTCTGCAGTCAGACACCCACTAGGACGGGAGCCCTGACCCAGGTTTTGGGCCTGTGAGGCTCCCGCCAGAGGACTCAGACAGGGAGCCAGCGGGCAGCCCCCCCCCCCCCCCATCCCTCTCACCTGCGGCCCCGACCCCCCTCCCTGACCTGGGGAGACGCACGTAGCCAAGGGCAGGAGGTCGGCTCTGAAGGCCGCACTGCAGCGGTTCCTCGTGCTCCTGACCGGGCGCCTCCTCTCTCAGGACCTGTTCAGCAAGCAGAAGGGCTACCTGGAGGAGGAGCTGGACTACAGGAAGCAGGCCCTGGACCAGGCTCACCTGGTAGGACCGGGGTGGGTTGGGCACCCTGGCTTTTTAGACTCGATAGTGGAGGCCGCGTTTTCCTCGGGCTGAGACCGCGTTCCGAGTCCTCGCCCGTGCCCTGTGGGAGCCGTGAAAACGCCACCTCCACGCTGGGCTGGGAATGGCCACACAGATGAATGGTGGATTTTTCCAGATCAGTCATGACTTTCACACGTAGTCAGCTTGGTGGCTTTTTTAGACATGCTTGTCCAGTTCTAGCAATCATTTCAGATGAATGAAAAAACACACACCCTCTTTCTTATGTTTGTTTGTACTTAAATATTTATTTATGCTTAAAACCTCAAAGCAGCCTGGCCGGCATGGCTCAGGGGTTGAGAGTCAACCTACAAACCAGGAGGTCACGGTTCAATTCCCAGTCAGGGCATATGCCTGGGTTGCAGGCTCGATCCCCAGTGCGGGACATGCAGGAGGCAGCTGATCCATGATTCTCTTTCTTCATTGATGTTTCTCTCTCTCTCTCTCCCTCTCCCTTCCTCTCTGAAATCAATCAATCAATCAATCAATAAAAATAAATAACCCTGCAAAGCAGTGCTCCTGTGAACAGGAGACAGTCATGGAGGAACAGGGGAGAGCAGTGAGCGGCCGCCTGGTCATCAGAACGAAATGGCTCGTGGGAAGGGCTTTTGCTCTATTGCTATTTTTTTTTTTTAAAGATTTTTCCGGGAATCGAACCGGCAACCTGCAGTGCCCGGGACGATGCCCCACCCACTGAGCACCCCTGCCAGGGCCAGTGTCGCTCTTTGCCACAAGACTGGTTCTGGGCTTCCTGGTGCCCAGCGTAGAAGGTCGTGTTCGGGGTCCCATGTCTGTCAGATGCTCCGAGGACCCACAGCCGAGTGCGCGGGTGGCGGCCTTTCCGACGGCGAGAAGTGCAGGCCGCGCCGTGCAGGGGAGGCAGGGCAGCGGACAGAGTGTGGGCACATCTTTGCCAGGTCCCTTGTCATTGAAATCACTGTGCAGAATGGGTTCATCCCTAGGAAATGCCGCCAGTCACTGGAAACACTCAAACTCCTGTTTCCGGGAGTGTCTCCAGGGAGACGGAGAGCGGGCGGCGGGGCCCAGCTCAGGCGGGAGCTCCGCGCGGGAGGCTGGTCCAGTGCGACCCTCGTCTTGTCTGTTTCCACCCAAAGGGACGCCTTTCGCGGCCGGGCTCCGAGCTGGGGTGCCAGAGCCGGCCTCAGGAGAGCCGGAGGCTGGGACGACCGAGTCCCCCGCCCTGCCAGGTCTTGCTTCTGGGCCCACAACTTGAGAACAGAGTTTAAGGGGGATTCAAAACAGAAACATCCTCACCTTCTCTCGTCTTCTTCCACAGCTTTGGTTTTCCCTTGATCAGTCTGGGTCCTTTTGCACCCCCCCCCCCCCCCCCCATGAACCTGCACTTCAGGTCCTTTCTGACATGCAGCCCTGCCCTCGCCTAGAATTTCCCCCAAAGCCTGAGGAATGTGGTTTCGGGAAGTATTACAGGAACTCAGGCCAAGGCAGTGTGGGGAGGGGAGGCGGGGAGAGGGCGCTGCAATGGAATAGGTTTGGGAAACTGAAGGATTTCTTGGTCCTTAGGATGCGGAAGGGAGGGCTGAGACGGAGCGGAACAATAGCGACATCTGCAGAGCTCGCGGCCAGGGGCCTCTTCCCAAGGGGCAGCTCGAAGAGAGGTGTTTCCCAAACACTGGGGAAACCTTGGTGCCCACCGAGCACGCTCAGCCGGCTCCGCAGCTGCACTCACACCACAGACAGTGCTGAGGCCCAAGGGGATGCCAGGCCCGCGTGAGCCCGGCTCGGCTGGTGCGTGGTCAGGGAAGCGATGTTCCGAGAGGGAGGCAGGGCTGTGCCTGGGGCAGCAGTGAGCCTGGTGGGCGCACACCGCATCCCTCTGTCACTGAGCTGGGTGGTGGGGTCCTGGCTGGAGGCTGGCAACATGGGGATCCCCCAGGAGCTGGGCCAAATGGAGAGGGGCCGCCCCAGCAGGCACAGGCAAACTCCCGCTCCGGGGGAGCCACACGGGACCCTTCCGCACACCAGTGAGCAGACCCCAGGGGTGGCCACCAGGGCAGAGAGGGAAGGGGATGAGGCCTGTGGGTGGAACCTGGTCCTGGCGCCATGGGTCCAGAGTCTGCCAGGGGTTAGCACAGCGGTGCTGATGCTGAGGAGGCCGGAGGATCCAGTGCCCACGCAGCAGGAGAGGGTCACCACACTGCCCCTGCCCCACACCACCCACCGCTCGCCTCTTGTCCCTTCCCCCAAACTGGTGCCTGGCCTGTGCTGTCTCGGGGCCAGGAGCTATTCCATAGGAAGGGGTGCACGTGGGCATCCAGGGGGCAGAGCAGGTAACTCCCTAGACTTTCCCATGAGGTAACTGCATGTCCGTGTCTCGCTGTGGAGTTGAAAAGAAATGCCCTCCTCTAGCGATAGAGCTCGGAGCTTTCCCAGATTCCACATGGACCATCGATTGCGCATCCACTGTGCTACAGAGGGCGTCTTCCTTCCTTAGGGCGCGGGGGTCACTTCAAACATCGCCACGCATTGCGTGGGTTAAAGCTGCACTCCTACGCAGCCAGCTGACCCCCGAGTGTGAGCGATTTGAGACGTGTTTCTCCCTCAGCACCGTGATGAAGGGGGGACTTGCTCCCAAGGTCAGGGGTAAATTAAGAACCAGTTGAATCACACATTTTTTTAAAAAACATGTTTTTATTGAATTTTAGAGAGAGAGGAAGGAGAGAGAGAGGGAGGGAGAGGGGAACGGGGAGGGAGAGAGGGGGAGGGAGGGGGAAGGGGAATGGGACGGAGAGAGGGAGAGGGAGGGAGAGATGGAAACATCAATGATGAGAGAGAATCACTGATTGGCTGCCTCCTGCACCCCCCTTACTGGGGATCAAGCCCGCAACCCAGGCATGTGCCCTGACGGGGAATCGAACTGTGACCTCCTGGTTCCTGGGTCAATGCTCAACCACCAAGCCACGCGGCCGGGCTAAATCACACAGTTAAGGGATGGTTATGATTATTTGTTCTTGTTGCCCTCAGATGGAGAAAGACACATTCCCAGGAATGTGTGTGGGGCTGGGAACGGCTCCCTCGCCCCCTTGCCGGGGCTGCTGGCTGCCTGCTGGGTCCCTGCCCGGGTTCTGCCGCCCTGGGCTTCAGGGTCCTGGTCAGGGCGCTGGATGGGACTGTCCACCTGTTTGCGACCATCCACTGTCTGTGTGATCTGGCCACTCAGAAAATCCAGGAGCTGGAGGCCACGCTGTATGACGCGCTGCAGCAGGAGCCGGGCCAGAAGGCCAGCAGGGCGCTGAGCGCGGGCCAGCGGGAGGACCTGCAGGCCGCCGTGGAGAAGGTGCGCAGGCAGATCCTGAGGCAGAGCCGCGAGTTCGACAGCCAGGTCCTGCGGGAGCGCATGGAGCTGCTGCAGCAGGCCCAGCAGGTGAGGCGGCAGCCGCGGCCATGGCCACTCCTCACCCCGCGGGCCCTGTTGGCGCCCCTGTGCCTTAGCGTACTAGCCCCAGCTGGCCTGCAGGGACATCTGCTGGGGCCACAGGCCATCACAACCCCTCTCGGGACCCTGTCCCTCTCCCTGCCAATCACCCCCCCACGCACCCCTTCCTAACATGCAGCACAGCACCACCCCTCCCCCAAGACCCTCCTTGGCTCCCCATGGCCCAGAGGACACAGTCTGGGTTGCTTAGCCTGACATCCTGAGGGCCCTGCCCACCTCTACAAATGCACCGTCTTCCTCTCTCTCGCCACACCATTGTTTGTGATTTTTCTAATATCTATGTGCCAAGCACTGTTCCAGGACTGGGGGGTCCTGGGACCCTGGCCTTTCAGGGCGAGACCCAGGCAGGCCCTCAGCACCCTGGGCGAGTCTGGGTGGACACTGCGGCACACCTGCCCCAGTCGGGTCCTCTGCCCTCGCTCCCTCCAGGGTCTGGCGCCGCCTCAAATCAGTGATCCTGCCCAGGACACCTCCATGCTGTGGCCCAGTCTTTATTTTACGTTTTCAAGAGACCCTGTCTTAAGAGCACAACCTGTAAAATTCTATTTCCGCTTCAGGAACAGGCAAAATCAGTCTTCAGTGAGTGAGATCAGAACAGAGTTGGGGGGGCGGGACCTGAGAGCGCCTCCTGGGGCGGGAAAGGCTCTCCTCTGGTCCGGGTGGTGGCGATGCCCGTCTGTGGGTGCGCACCAGCCGGTGGGCTGCCTGCCCAGTGTCCGTGCGCTTGCAGCTGCTACGCTGCTCCTTGGCAAACAGGAGGGATCAGGGTTAGAACCTGAGGTGTCACTTCTGATGCATCACGGGGTGTGTTTCAGAGAATCCGGGAGCTGGAGGCCATGCTGGAGGCCCAGAGGCGGCACCTGAAGGAACTGGAGGAAAAGGTGGGTCGGGGGTTCGAGCCCGGCCATGCGGGGCTTGTGCTTGTGTGACGTTAGCGGGAATCTTCTCTCCTGCCTGCTCCTGCTGCCGGAGAACGGCCGTCTCCAGCCACCCCTTCTCCGCCCTGTCCCCCCTAAACCCGCACGTCCAAGAGCCAAGTAGCTGCTTTGAGCGTGCTTCTAGGGAAGAAAAGTGCAGTTTGGGGTGAATTATGTGTGGGGGAGGGGCGTGTGCGTGATGTCCTTTTCCCACAAAAGACCTTCTCCCAGGAGAAGCGAGGCCAGCCTGTCACGTGCTCACACCCAGCCCCGTTTGTCTCCACAATTATTCCCATTTTATGGGTTAAACGGAGCCTGAGAAATTCAGACACTTGGCCAGGACCCCAGGGCTGGGAAGGGGCCACTCCGGAAACCCCCTTACTTCCTGTTTCTCTTTCCAAACCGAACCCCAGGGTCGATGTTCTTATAAAATGCTGCCCCTGAATTCCATACTACATGTCTTACATCTTTTTCTCTCTTTTCTTTTCTTTCTTGCCTCATTTTCTTTTGTCTTATTTTATAGTTTTTGTTCCTTTTTTTGTTTTTCTCACTAGCATTCATTCTGTGGCCTTGATGACTGCAGGGAGCCAAGAGCTGGGGTTGGTATCCTTTCATCTATACCAGTGGTTCTCAACCGTCCTAATGCCGCGACCCCTTAATACAGTTCCTCATGTTGTGGTGACCCCCAATTTCATTGTTACAAATTGAACATAATTAAAGCATAGTGATTAATCACAAAAACAATATGTAATTATATATGTGTTTTCTGATGGTCTTAGGTGACCCCTATGAAAGGGTCGTTCGACCACCAAAGCGGTCGCGACCCACAGATTGAGAACTGCTGATCTATACTAATAAAAATGTAATATGCTAATTAGCCCAAATGACCTTCTGGACAAAGCTATGGTGATGGAGGCTGAGGCAGAGGCAGTTAGGGGTGATCAGGCCAGCAGGGGAGCAGTTAGGGGCGGTCAGGCAGAGGTGGTTAGGGGCGATCAGGTAGGCAGGCAGGCAGGCGAGCGGTTAGGAGCTAGCGGTCCTGGGATTGTGAGAGGGATGTCTTACTGCCATGGGGGTGGGGAAGCCATGGGGGTGGGAAGCCATGGGGGTGGGAAGCCATGGGGGTGAGGGTGGGGTGGGTCCTGCAGGGCAGGCTATCTGGGTCCTGTTTCCTCCTCCCTGGATTTGGGGGAAGGTCCCTGGTGGGCTCAGCTGGAGCGTCAGGACAGCAGTTGGGCAGGTGGGGGCAGATAAGCCTGGGGCTTCTCCAACCATTTTAATTACCCCTTGGTTCCTGCATCATATCACATTATTTTTTCCTTCTACAGGATAGAAAAAGAGCTTATGGGATGAACTGAGGCCCTATGGCAACCCCAACCCCACTCAAACCAAAATCCACAAGCTATTCCACGTGCAGAGACTTGGACCAGAACCCACATACTTGACGACGGCTCCAAGGGGGGCCTTTTGGATCGACAGCGGCCCCGGCCAGCCGAGCTGTAGGAGTTCTGCAGGAATGATGGGGATTGTGTCAAGCTCAGGGCCACATGAGTCCCCACGGGGGACCTTCAGGAGCCCAAGGGGCAGAGACCTGACTTCCAGGGAACTAAGTGCAATTACCAGAAACTGAGCCCCGGGAGAGCGTCTGTGCACCCGGGGACAGCCCGTCCCTGCCCGGGCGCTGGCGGACGCAGACCATGTACATATGTCTTCGTGGACGGTGCCCTGGGCACCCAGAGGGACTGGCCAGTGTCCCTGTGAACTGAACCCAAAGCCAAGCCCCATCCACAAAACCCTCCAGATGTGTGTGCAGCTGGATCAGCAGCTGCCCGCCAGAGGGGGGGGCTGGAGCCTCGCTCACTGCGGAGGGCGGACCCCAGGGAACTCCGATTTCCATCACTCTCTTGTGTGTGACGTGGAGAAAGTCCCAGAGCATGACAGGGCCTGGGGCCATGTGGCGTGAGGACTGCGAGGACAGGCCCCCGCTGACCACACGGGGACTGTCTTTCATCTTGGCTGTAATTTGCAAGAGGAAGAAACGCTGGGAATGACGCTCCTTCTGCAATGGTCTGAGACCAGGCCGCTCTCCTACAGCCTCGGGGGAGCGGGCAGAGACCAGACGCCGAGTCCAGCCTCCCAGAAGGACAGAGTGGGGCAGCCGAGGAGGCCAGGGCACCATCTGGTGAGAGGCAAGTCTAGGAGGGGTCCTGGAGGAGACTTTCGGGCATTGTTGCTGCTGTTCTCTGGGGGGCGGGTGGGAGGTGGGGACATCGTTTCCAGAAGAAGGCTCCTGCTCACATGTCTGTCATCTCCCACACTTTTGGAAGGAAGACTTTTGGACAGGCTAGATCAAGTGAAATAGAAGGCAGTGAGTGCGGAGGGAAGGACAGCCACGTCTGTGTTGGAAGAGGCAGAGGAAGGCAAGGACGGCTTGATCCCAAGGATGGGAATCGCTGCTCTGTGCCTGTGGGTCGGCGCCGCCATCCTGACATATCCAGTGAGAAGAACCTTTGGCGGAAATGAAAATGTCTGAAGTTCAGGCCACTGAAGGAGCCGTGGGGAAGGGGACCCAATAGAAGAGCGGAGAGTTCTCGGAAGGGCAAACCCAGGGAGGGAGAAGGATGGCGACTGGCACAGAGGGGGCATCCCAGGCACATGGGGAGGGATGTTCCAACCAAATCAAAGGATTGGGGCCTAAGAAACGCCCCAGGACAGCTGAGAAATACTTGTTCTCTTTTCAATCTAAACCCAAAGCACCTGTACACCAGCCCCCACGACTTATCAACGTTTAGTGAGCAAACATGACTGAACCGACGTCTTTGCTTGAAAACCCAGGCATCTGAGCGCTCCGGTGGGGATGGGCCTGTGGGACCACGTGCGGAGTGAAGGCCTTAGACCCTGTCTGCTTTCTCTGGGGCCCAGGCAGCGCAGAGAAACCCTGCTTCGCTGCCTGAGTCTGCGGGCTCCCAGGAGGCACTCTGGGCCTCGGGGAAGCGGTTCCTGTGGTCGGGGTCCTCTGCCCGCTGCGGGAGGGGGGCAGGAGTGTGGCCCTCATGCCACCCGGTGTCCACCTGCTGTCTGCTCGCCCTCACACTCAGAGGCAGGGCTGGGAGGGCGCGGACTTTGAAGTCAGACCTGAGCAGGTCCACTGGCCGCCCGGCCACCTCCCTGCAGCAGACACTCTGCATCTCAGTTTCTTTAGCTGTGGCTGGAGGGGGGGCGGTCTCCCTGCGGCACCCCATGAGACCGCTTCTTTGGGCACCACTAGCAGCCCACGGGCCCCCCGAGCCCTGGCAGGAGGCGCAGCAGGTGCACCCTGCTCCCTCAGAGGGAGGCGTCCTCAACGGAGACCGTACAGCCCACGGGACCAGGAGCCCGTCTCTGAGACGGCTCAGGTGTGAGGGCTGAGGCCCCCGCAGGCAGGTACGGGAGCTGCCCCGCCTGGAGGACCAGAGTCGCCGACAAGAGCCAGCATTTGTGTGACTGTCCAGACGTCGCTTCCAAGGTCCCTGCCAGGGACAGGCCCGGTTCCAAGAGCCGTTCTTCTCAGGGAACCTCAGCGCTCTGGCAGCCAAGCCCTGGCGCCCAGGTGAGGTGCACCCCTTCAGGGTTGTTGTGGTGGTGGTTGCCTAGTAACGCAGCCAATGGTCCACAGGTGTGGTTTCCAGGGAGCACAGCTACAAGGTCAACTGGACTCATGGTCACATCCTCACCCAGAAGGGCGAAGGGATGGGTCCGCCCTTCACCTCCACCCTCCTCACAGAGCCGCTGGGGGCAGGAGGGGAAGGCCCAGCCAGGTTCTGGGCACGGGGTCAGGCACACGGTGCAGTGTAAACGTGTGGTGTGGCCGCCCACTCTGCACCCCGACACCTGGCTCCTCTGCAGGCAGCGTGACCAGTGGGGAGCTGGGCAGAGAGGCCAGGGGTCAGCTCTCTGGTTGGGGCGGGGCCGTGTTACCTTGGAGACCTGGCTGTGGTGCCTGCCGCCTTCCTAAGCGACCTCAGGGTCCTTAATAACAAAATTTATTTTGTTATTCTATGTATCACTCTTGTGATTCTGTCCATCTGTCCATCCTTCCATCTCTCCATCCATCCTCCATCCATCCATCCATCCATCCATTCATCCATTCACCTATCCTTTCATCCATCCATTCATCTATCCACCCACCACCCACCCTTCCTAAGCGACCTCACGGCCCTTCCATCCTTCGGCTCACCCTCCTGCAGGCGGAGGGTCTCAGGGCCTGTGGCTCCTGCCCTTCCCTCCTCTTCCGTCACCAGGTGGTGACCTGCAGGAACCGCCCCCCCCCCCCCCCCCACACACACACACACTCCCAGGCCAGGCAATGGCTCCTTGTTTATTTTCTCACATTTAAGCAGAACCTGCTAGAGGCCTGCCAGTGAGGTGGGAGGTCCCGCCAGCTGTGGGGTCCTCTCCCGGAGGCGGTCTGAGAACTCCCGGGGGCTTCTGCAGACCCCAAACTACGCCCCCTTCCAGCTCTGTAGTGGGTGCAGCGGCGGCCCTCCCGCCCCCTTCATCCCATCTCTCCGGGGCTGTTAGGGTTCCAGTGGGAACACCAGGCGCCCGCTCCGGCAGCTGTCCCTCCTGAACCTCCCAGGCTCCCTAGGGTGCAGGCCCGTCCTTACAGCCGCTCCATGCGATGTCCCCCCTTCCCACCTGGTCTCCACCCGAGGAGCCAGGGGGTTGGTTGATAGTCAGGGAGCCTCCTCTCTCTCCTCCCGCAGGTCTGGAGGGTCATTCCCACGGACCTGGGAGTCTTAGCCACTAACCCCCAAGGAGCGGGGCGCTTCCCCCCTGAGGCTCTGGGGGGCTTTACCTGTCCTGGGGGCGGGGGGCTTTTACCTGTCCTGGGGGGCGGGAGAGCTTTTATCTGTCCTGGGGGGCGGGGGGCTTTTACCTGTCCTGGGGGGCGGGGGGCTTTACCTGTCCTGGGGGCGGGGGGCTTTACCTGTCCTGGGGGGCGGGGGGCTTTTACCTGTCCTGGGGGCGGGGGGCGCCCTCCCTCCAGCCTGCGCCCCTCCAGGAAAGAGCGAGAATGCTGCTCCCCCTCCAGGCCCGGTGGCTTTCCCTGCGGGAAGGGAGGTGCGTGCTCCCCGGGGCTGGGTGCCTCAAGGTTTGAGGTCAGACCTAGCTGTGAACCTGCCTCTGCCCTCCCATCCGTGGGGCTGGACCAGCTCCCCGCTGCCGACCTGGGTTTCCTCACCTATGAGCTAGTTACGGCGACTCCACCTCCAAGGGTTACCGGGGAGCTGGACCGGGTCAGGCGAGCCGCCGTGAGGGCCGGGTCCTGGGGGGCCGCTGGCTGTCTGGGCGAGCGGGCACAGCCCCCAGCATCACCGGTGTCAGCTGGAGCTCCACTGCGGAGACCCTGCAGCACCCTCGTGGTCTCCGGGCTCAGCGTTTCCTTCCAAGTGAATCCCCCCCCCCCACCCCCCCGCGTCCTCGCTGGGGGAGCGCTGGCATGCCGGCCCGTAACCCGAGAGGTGCCATGCATATTACATGACGCCTGTGCCTCTGAAACCGAGTCCCCCTCATGAATAATCCACCTGCTCTTGCCTCCTCAGGGGACATTTTCCTGCACAATCTGGAGGCGCTGCACCCGCCTCGCAATCTCCAGAAAGTCAGTGTTGCAAACGCACTCGACGGCGCGAACCGCAGCTGCGCACTATGCCGGGATGGAGCCCGAGGCCACCGGGCGCGCCGAGAAGACGTTCAGCTACGTGGTCAGAGCCCCCGGCGGCGACGGGGTGGACGTGATGAACGTGGACGTGAAGATCGACACGACCTGGGTCTTCCAGGACGCGGAGGACAGCGGCGAGGAGCCGGGATGGCGCCCGGAGGGAGCAGCCCTCGGGACCCCCGACCTGGACACGGGGACGCTCCGGAGGCAGCTGGAGTCCTCTGAGCAGAAGCTGCTGGCAGCGGTGGACAAGTACGTGAGGTCGGAGTCTGGGCTCAGGAGCAGGTAAACATGCCTCGGGGGCCTCTTCTGTGTGTGTTCCCGAACCCGGGGCAGCAGAGCCGGTAGGAAGGCGTGTTGAATCGTTCCCTGGCGAGGAAGCGGGCGCACCCATGCCACACGCCTGCCTGCCACGTCCCTGCTCTCTCTCTCCTGTCCCCGGTCTGTGCTGCCCACCGGGGCTGAGCCGGCGGAGAGGTCTCCCAGCTCGCCCGGCCAATGGGAACATCGACGGGCGGAGGGCGGGAGAAGCCAGGGAATCGCCCCCTCTCCGCTGCTCTGGGTGACTTTTCTGACTGTGGCTACAACTCAGTCCTGCTCCTGGCTCCCTCTGTGGTCCTGCTCCTGCTGGTGGCCCAGCCCCGCCCCAGCATCACCACCTGCTCCCTGTGTCCCTCCAGCCCAGGGACAGGGGTGGCCGCGGGCAGTCACTAGTCCCTCGGTTGCCCGTCATCTGATTGGCCTTTCGGCTCACCCACCACCTGCGCAGCAGGGTCTGCGTTTGTTTCTCACTGTTGACCCTGAGCTCCCTGGTGTGGAGCCAACACGGTCCCCAGGTTGGGCATGGGTCCAGGCCTCTCCAAAGCCCAGGCTCTTTCGGGATCGCTGTCTGAAGCCTGGCCCAGCAGCATGAGGCGGGCTTTGCATGGGCCTCGGAGGAGAACGCAGTGCGGAGATGCAGTGTGGTCATGGCAGGATCGCCTCCCACAGGTTCCCAATAGCCCAGCAGCCAGAGTCTTGGATCTGCCCGAGACTTCGGCCTTTTCTTGTATTTCCCTTCATTTTAATAAAGGCAAGTCGTTACATGTGTATTTACATCCGCTTTACTATTTTTCTTCTTTATAATACATTTCACATGGAGAAAGTCACATATTAAAAATTTATTTTGTTATTCTATGTATCACTCTTGTGATTCTGCCCATCTGTCCATCCTTCCATCTCTCTATCCATCCATCCATCCATTCACCTATCCTTTCATCCATCCATTCATCTATCCACCCACCACCCACCCATTCATCTATCCACCTATTCACCCACCATCCATCCATCCATCCATCCACCTATCCACCCACCACCCATCCATCCACCCACCCACCCATCCATCCATCCACCTATCCACCTACCATCCATCAATTCATCTATCCATCCATCTATACATACATTCATCCATCATCCATCCATTCATCCACCTATCCATCCATCCATTATCCATCCATCCATCCATCATCCATCCATCCATCCATCTATCCATCCACCCATCCATCCACCTATCCATCCATCCATTATCCATCCATCCATCCATCCATCCGTCCATCCATCTATCCATCCATCCATCTATCCATCCATAACCCATCCACCCACCCACTGATTCTACAACCTGCACCCACTCCCCAAGAGCCATGCACTAAGTTGTATTAGTTTCCGTGGCAACCACAACCAAGTGTCACAGGCGGAGCAGCTTAAACATCGGACATTTATCCTCTCACAGTTCTGGAGGCTGGAAGTCTGCGATCGAGGAGTGGGGATTAGTTTCTTCTGAGCCTCTCTCCTTGGCTGAGGGACGGCTGTCTTGTGCCTGTGTCCTCACATGGGTGTTCCTCTGTGTGTGTCTGGGTCCTAATCTCTCTTATAAGGACACGAGGCAGATTAGAGTAGGGCCCACCCAAGCGACCACATTTTCCCTTAATTCCTTTGTACAGACCCCATCTCCAAATACAGTCATATCCTGAGGCGCTGGGGTTAGGACTTCAATGTACAAACTTGGGGGGACACATTCATCCCATAAGTCCTGGGTGCTGGGAGCTGGAGGACAGGGCCCCAGCCCTGGAGAGGGGAGCAGCACGGCCCACACAGGGTTGTCCACTCGAATCTTCCTCCAGAAAGATCGATAGTGAAAACCAGGAGGTCAGCAGGCGTGTGGAGGATGGGCGGGACACCCCGGCCACAGGAGACCCCTCCGTGTGAGGGAGGGACAGAGCGGGGCACTGTGAGAGATGAAGAGGAGTGGCCTCCGTGGCTGGGGTGAGGCTGTCCTGGACGGGGCGTCCTGGGCCCGTCGGTGGGGAAATGTGGGCTGTGTCCTCTGTTCTCTGAGGGTGGGCTGCGCCAGCCACGGGGCTGGGACTGGAACCCAGGCAGCCTGGCCAGAGTGGCGGCCATGAGGGGACAACGTTATCCCACCTCCTGAGCACGTCTCCCAGCTCCTAGCACTCCTTCCCGCCCTGCACTCTGCTCTGTTTAACTGGGTGTTCATCGGTGCAGAGCTGTACTTCGGTGTGAGTTTCCTGTGGCCCCAGCCAGTGGCTCCAACAGCGGCCTCACAGCCTGCATTTCTGGAGGCAGGGCCTGCGCGCCTCCCTGGCTCAGGTCAGGTACAGGCGGGCCCTGTGCTCTGGCCAGTGCGCTCCACAGGCTGTGGGGGCCGGCCTGGCCTGGCCTGGCCAGCGGCCACAGCTGCCATGCTCGCTCTGGCCTCTGTCTGCAATGCGGCCAGCCAAGCAGCCCGCACGCCTGCACCTTCTGTGTTCGAATGCCTGCCTCTCTCCTAGGAGGACCCGTGATTGCAACTGGGACCCACCCACACAGTCTAGGATGATCTCAAATTCTTGAACTTAATCTCATCTGCAGTCTCATTTGCATTTGAAGGCCACACTCACGGGCCCCAGGGATCCGGGCCTAGGTATACCTGCGGGCCATTATTCCGCCTGCCACAGCGAGACCAGTCGCTTTCTGATAGGGATGGCACCAGAAGGAAACACTGCCTCCTAGTTAATGTTTCAGGTTGGTCTCAGGGTCTAAAGAGAGGCCTTTCTTGTTCCGTTAGATGCCACCCCGTTACATAACAGATCAGAGGTTCCTGCGACAGCTCTGACCGATGACCCTGGGGCCACTCCTCTCGTGCAGTTTGGAAGGGACACGATTATAATCCACATGCCCTTCTGTCGCTTTCGAAGCTCACCCCAGGGCCTCGGAGCTAGAGGAGGAGAGGGGACTCTTGGCTGATTATTAACAAGAATGCATCATTTATTTCATCTTCACAGCAACCTTCTGAGCAAGGTGCAATTGCCTCTGTTTTTTACAGATAGAGACTGAGGGTCAGAGTGGTGAATGAGTCCAGTTTAGGCTCCAGGGCTGGTAAGCGGCAGAGCCAGCAGGCAAAGCTAGGTCCTCGTCCGGGGAAGCCACGTTGTCCTGGATGGGCGGGTCACCGGGGTGGGCTTGGTAAAGGAGTGACGGTGGGCAGACCATGCAGGCTGTGCACACACTTTCCACGTGTCCCCTGGTTCCTGTTAAGGAGTAAGATCGGCACATGAGGGAGACTCGGGTGCTCGGTGCAAGCAGGTGGCAGGCAAATCTTGGAGGTCCCTTCTCTCCCAGTGAGACCAGGGGCCAGACCTTGGCTTCGGGTTTCCCGCGCTCACGCACGCTTCTCCTTTTCGCGTGGCTGTGTCAGTGCTCTCATCCACGCCGGGTATTACGTTGCATGTGACACAGCTTAGCCTTTCCCCTGAAAACAAAAACGCCTTCACGTGGCTTTGCCGTCCCTGCCAGACAATTAGGCCACCTCCAACTTCTTACTTTTGTAGTAATACAGGTGAATTATTTTAATGGCAGAAGCTTTTTTTTTTCTGAGCTTAATCACTTCCACAGAAGAGATTCACAGGAATGCAGCGCAGACGGGAGGCAGCGGGGCAGAGGGTTACGAGGGTCAGTTTGGGAATCGGGCAGCCTGGGCTCTGCAGTGCTGTGTGACCTTGGGCGGGCTGCCTGGCCTCTCTGGTCTGAGTTTCCTCCTGTGTGAGGAAGGGGTCATGCAGCCCACTGTGGGCTGGCGATGTGAAGACTCATTGAGGCAATGCAGGTGCTTGCTTCAGGCTCAGTTCTTTCTTTTTATTTTTTATTTCAAGAAAAACGATCTTAAATATAATCATGTTACATGCAATAAACATTAATATTTCAAGAAAATGATCTTAAATATAATCATGTTACATGCAATAAACATTAATATTTCAAGAAAATGATCTTAAATATAATCATGTTACATGCAATAAACATTAATATTTCAAGAAAAATGATCTTAAATATAATCATGTTACATGCAATAAACACCAATCCTATATAATAAAAGACTAATATGACCGGGAGTTTGATCGCTCGCTATGACGTGTGCTGACCGCCAGAGGGTGGAGCAGAACATGGCGGGCGACCAGTGGCGGTGGCAGTGGGGTGCTGAGGGAGCGAGGGAAGGAGGAGGAGGAGAGGCAGGGAACCTGATTGGCCCTGATCACTGGCCAGGCCTAGGGACCCTACCTGTGCACAAACTTCGTGCACCGGACCTCTAGTTATTCAAGAAAAATGATCCTAAATATAATAATATTACATGCAATAAACATTAATATTTCAAGAAAAAAGGATCTTAAGTGTAATAATATTATCAAAACTGTACTAACATAGTATGATATCACAAAAGTTGTAGGAAATATTAGAAATCTGCAAATAACAGGATTACTTCTATTATATTCTAAAATATTTTCCCCCCTCTGGCTCTATTTTTGTTCATCAGTTTGTGTTCGTTATATTCCACAAATGAGTGAGATCATTTCTCCAGGCTCAGTTCTTAACCGGAGTCGCCCAGACTCGGGGTTACTGGCTTAGAGATGAGGTCACTACTAAGATTCCCGATGCATGGTGCCTCCTCAGTCGAAAGAGGTCTTTGACGTATGGTAGATCATCCCTAGAAAAATACGTGTGAATGTTTTACAAAACGCAACTGTGTCTGAGTAAGAAATTGGCCAAATAACATCAGAAAGGGGCTCCGGCGTGTGTGAAACCTCCGGCCGTGTTTGCTGCGTGCGTCGGACTGAGCGCCGCCTGCTTCCCGCTGCAGAATCCAGGAGCTGGAGCTGTCGGAGCAGAAGCTCCTGCGGAAGGTGGACCAGCTGAGCGCCCGCGTGTGCCAGGAAAGGAGCGCCTCCCGCCGGGCCCAGGAGCAGCTGGAGGCGCTGCAGGGGGAGCTCGCCTGCCAGGTACGGCCGCCTTCCCTCCAGCGCCAGTTTCTTTCCCAGCAGGGTCCCCCTGTGTGTGGATGTGGTCGCAGCTAAGACAGTGTGTGGGGGGGCCGGGGAGAGCCTGTGGGGCCTGGGTGAGGTCATCGGTAAAAGGGGATCCCTGCCCTGCTTGCTTCACAGGCTCCCACGGGGACCCCTGGGGTGGGGGCTGAGGGCACGGGGTGACCTGGAGCTCTGGGCGGGGGGGGGGGGGGGGGGCGTTCATTTCTACGGCCTCCGTGCCTGTATGGGGGAGCCAGCTCTGGCCTAAGGACAGGGAGATGGCTGACCCCTGTCACCACCTCCGGGGCTGGAGTGCAGGTGGGGACTCAGGTAGGAAACAAGGAACGCAGAACTGGACGCTGTGTCATGAGGGAGGTGCGGCATGGTGAGCAAGTGCATGGGGTGGGAGCTACAGAGAGCTGGGCCGGGAGTGTGGGGCCTTGAGGGCAGGGCATGTGAGGTGAGGCGTGGGTAGCCACCTGGGCAAAGGCACGGAAGTCTGGGAGACATACCGGGACCCAGCAGGGGGTGTAGGTGGGGAGAGGGAGTTGGTGAGACTGGAGGGTTCCCCAGGGGCCAGACCCCAGGGCCACTGCGCGGACCCGATTTTGAAGGCGAGAGAGAGCAGTTTTTCGGGGACTTGAGTGGGAGAGGCTCCAGGTCAGGGTTTAAGGGATGTTATTCTAGTTGCATGGGAGAGAGAAAGACGGTGGGGGTGGGGAACAAGTTAGAGCTGGAGGCAGATGGCTGTGTGGCCTAGGGCAAGTGACTAAACCTCTTGGGGCCTCAGTTTTCTCATCTGTGAAATGGGAATGATATAGCACCAACACCCTCAAATTGTTATGTGAGTTAAGATGTGTAAAACACTCAGCAGTGGCCGCTGTTGTAATTAGTAGTGTTTATTGAAATATTCCAGGGGAGAGATGGTGCAGGCAGGAGGGCGGGACACATATAGGAAATACTGTGGAAGCAGACGCAGCGGCACCCCAAGAGCCCCAGGGGTGTCCTGTTCTGGATTGTGACGAGCAGGGCAGCGCAGCGAGGGATTGTCTGCTTGCAGGCTGACATCTGTCATCGGGTTGTGAAATCAGTTCTGTGAGTCACAGCTGGGTTTACAAATAGAATGGACTATGAGGCACTAAGAAAGGGCCTCCCGCGTCTGAGCAGGCACTGTTTCAGGACTCTGCATGGGGCGTGTGCATAATGGGTACGCTGTCGCCACGTGTTCCTTACAGTGGGACAGTCAGAACCGCTCACAAAAGCTCATAACCGCGGGTTTAGCCAGTAGCTGCGGGGGCCAGTGGCGATTTCCCCTTCTATTGAACGCCGGGCGCAGAAAGCCAAGTTCATTACCCTCCTTGGCTTGTAGCATGTCACCAGCAGTGTCCCAAGAGGAGTTTTTGTGTTTTTTTAAAAAATATATTTTTATTGATTTTTAAAGAGAGAGGAAGGGAGAGGGAGGAGAGATAGAAACACTGATGAGAGAGAATCATCGATCCGCTGCCTCCTGCACGCCCCCTGCTGGGGTTCGAGTCTGCAAGTGGTCGGTGCTCAACCACCAAGCCACGCCAGCGGGGGCCCAAGAGGAGTTTTTAATACAAAATGCAGAGGCATGTGCGATCCCACCATCACGGATCCCTGTGGAACATACATTAATGTGCATTTTTGAGCCGTGCCCCCAGTACGTGTGAGAAACCAGAGATGCCCACGGCGTGGTGGGGAGATGGGGCGCCAGGGCGACAGCAAGGGAGATGGCGAGGGGCGCAAGGCTGCGGACCCGAGTTCGGTAGACACGAAGCCCCCCCCTCCCCCCCCCCCCCCCCCCCCGCATCCCTATTCCGGCCTCAGGACACCTGCTCACTCCTGGGAAACCCCTGTCAGGACCCCATTCCCAGGCGAGGCGTGGGCGTTCAGTGATGAGGGGCTCGCTCAGGACCCCGCGGTGACCCCTTGGCCCAGCTACCTCCCAGCCTGGACCTCTGCCTCGCTCTCTCCCCGACATCCGTGCATTTCCGGGCAGGTGTAGGGGTGCGGGCACGAGCTTGTCTGCCCTCCGTCCCTGACACTGGCCCACTGGCGGTTTTGCCCTGTGGCCAGAGTTGCAGGCGGCGTGTATCGGCAGCATGGACGCCTCATTTCCGCAGTGGCCTGTGGTCACTCAGAAAGCCCCTAGAGGCAGACCTGTCGGGGCGACAGGGCTCACACGGGGGGCACACCGGGTTTTCCTCCCGGGGCATTGTCTCCAGGCGTACCTGCCTGCGGGCCCTCCCGGCTCCCTAACGCGCCAGCCCAGCCCGTGGGCTGCTCCCGGCTCCTGCACGGCTCTCGCTGGGTGACTTTGTCTCCCACCACCGGCTCCGGTGCAAGATGTAAGGGCGGGGCCGCCGGAAAGCTCACTAACCGAGATAAAAATTGTTTTATGCGTCATTTTAATGTAAGAATATTCTCTGATGAACAAAACACCGAAGTTTAAACTAAAGACAGGCCCCCTGGGAGCCGGTGGCCCCGGGCTGCTTCCTGACGCCCGCACCCACCGCCACCTGTAGGTGCTGGAGCAGGAGCGCGCGGCCCGGCGGCAGCGGTGGCGGCTGCAGCGGCTGCGGGAGCAGCTGCGGCACAAGGACGAGGCGCTGGGGCAGCGGACGGCGGCCCTGGAGCGCTGCCGGCGGACCCAGCGGCGCGAGCTGGGCCTGGTGCGGGAGCAGGAGCGGGCCCTGCGGGCGCAGGTGCGGCGGCTGCAGCGGGACGTGGGGCGCCTCTGCCGCGCCGCGGGCCTCCTGCTGGCCGAGCTGGACGCCCCGGCCCCGGGCAGCACTCCACCCCCGGCCCCGGCCGGCCCCCAGCGCGACCCCGACCCCGACCCCGAGGAAGCCGAGGAGGTGCGCGCCCTGCAGGCGAGGGCCGAGCGCGGCGAGCGGGAGCGGGACGAGGCGGCGCGCCGGCTGCGGGAGCAGCGCGCCACGCAGCGCCAGCTCCGGGGGCAGCTGGAGGACCTCCGCTGCTGCATCTACGGGCTGAAGCTGTCGGAGATCGGCCTGCAGAGCCAGGTGGAGGACCTCGCCGAGCAGAACCGGCGCCTGCGCGCGGAGCTGGGAGCCCAGGCCCCCGGGGAGCGAGTGCGCGGCGCGCCCCCTGCTGGCCACGGGAGCCTGGTAAGTGGCGACACCCCGGGGCAGGAGTGACCGCTCTTCTCTCACTTTCTGGTACAGACACTTGGTTAAGTCCCTGACTCTCCCATTGTCCAGTCTTCCTCTTCGTCCACCCACCCAGCCCCCCTCCCCCGGCCCCTTCCGTCCACCCTTCATTCCGGCAGTACCTACCCACCCATCTACCCAGCCAGTCCTACTCACCCCCCCACCCATTCACCCACCTGTCCTCCCACCCATGTGTCTCCCATGCTCCATCAGCTCACTCACCTTACCGTCTGCTTCCCACCACTGTCCAGGCAGCCAACCAGCCACCCTTCATCCCTCATTGTCTGATCCCTGCCGACCCATAGCCAACATCTAATGATCCCGGCCGCGTGCCAGGCCCCGGGCCGGTGAGCTTCTGGGCGTGCGGTACTATGTAGCTCTCAGGTGCTGTGCATCTCCCCTGACCCCCGCTCCCTGGGAAAGCATCACCCCCTTTCGGCCTCCCACCCCGCATGAAGGCGGTGACGTCCCTGCACGGCGTGCGTGTGCATCTATCTGCCTTCCCCTCATGAGGCTGCGCTCCTGGAGGGCAGGCCCGGCTGATGGGGTTGCAGTCGCCCAGCAGCAGGCGCCGGAGCTTGCAGGGCTGCGCGTGGGGAGCACGTGGGGCGGGCCTTCCAGCTCTCCTGTTGGCTAGCTGGTGACCTCGGCCAGGTGTCTGATGCTCCGGAGGCGAGGGCAGAGGCCATTGCTTAGTCATGTGACTGATGGACAGGTCAAAGCTTCCATGTGCTCCACTCCTGCCCTGTGTGTGGCTCCCCACGGGTGTCCCAGCGGCGTTGTTCCATGTAATGCGCGTGAAGACGGCGGCCGGTGCCGTTACTGTCCTCCCTTCGCCCGTGAGGCTGAGGCTCGGGGTCTGCACGGACCCGCGGTCACACCGTCGTGCGAGTCCAGGTGCTCTGTCTCCTCCGCACTCACCTGCCTCCCGGAAAGAGAGCTGGTCCAGCTCCCTCCCCGGGCCCAGGGCCCTGCTTCTCTCCAGCCGGTCAGTTTGCATTTAAGGAAAAGTCCAAAAGCAACCATAGCTCAAGCGCCATTGCTCATTAAAAAAAAAATCAAATTTATCTTCTGACCAGATGGTCTATTTCAAAGGAACCGGAACCTGAAACGCTCGCGTGTCTCAGCCCATGCCGTGTGTCCTGCCTGGACCGTGTCTAACGAGCGTGTATCTGTTTTATCTTTTTACTTTACCCTCCTCCTGTCCCTCCCCAGGCCGCGTGTCCTGCTCGCTCTCCCTTTGTTAAGTTCATTGGATAAAAGGAAAACTACGTTTTGACGTTGGCACCTGACTGTAATTTTGGAAAATAAATCGTGTTTAGATGGAAACTGTCATTTAGAATCCTTTCTGTAATGTTCCTAAACGTAAGACGATCCTTGAGGCTGCTGGCTTCCGTCCTCACCGCCCCACCTACCTCCCCCTACACGGCGACTCACTCCTTCTTTCTCTAGGAGGAAGGGTGAGCACCTAGTCAAGAGGCCCCACTGACATTTTGGGCATTTTGTGTTCCCATCTAACCCTTAGAACAGCCTGGGAGTCAGGCTGTCACCCACTGAACAGATGGAGAAACCGAGACCCGGCTGTTAAGTGACTTGGCCGTGGCCACTCAGCTACCACGTATCAGGGCCAGGAGGGAACATGGGCCGGACCGGAGCCCTGACTCCAGGCTGTGCCCTTACCTGGAGATGCCAGGCCAGGGCTGGCTCTTGAGGACTGGGGGGCAGCGTCGGCGGGATTCGGTAGCCGTGCGCCACCAGCCCACCAGCCCCTTGTCAGCATGT